GGGGAAATAAAAAGAGCCATGATCATTTGATACCAATGCCAGTGCCACATCTTGGGCCCTACCTTCACTATGAAAGACAGGGGAGAGCTGGATTTAAAAAAAAAAAAAAAAAAAAAAAAGCCCTCCTGTCAGGATACACTAAACCTTAAAACTGCACCTGGGGAAGGAGAGCTAAACAGCCCCAGCCCACAGCCTGCTACCTAAGGTCTAGAACAGAAGGTACAAGGGATATCCCAGAAACTCCTGGTGGAACAGGTGTATTTCAGGATGCTGGTAACTAACGCCTTTCACCCGCTTCCACATCTAATTTCCCACAAAGGGAGCACTTCAGATTCTTATTACATTGTTAACTCTCTCCTCTGCCATGTCTTCTCTAATTCTTTCATGCTACCCCTTTCTCTGGGTGACTCCAGGCCTCCTCTATTTAGGCGGGAAGACAGCGCAGAGCCCAGCGGGGCCTTCAGAAGCAGAGGGGCTGCATTCTCCGCACACCTGCCCCTGCCTCCCCACAATGAAGCCCTGGGGCCGCGCGCGGGGAGGGAGGCTATCCCCAGGGAACCTACTGCTCTCCTGGAATCACCTGGAGTAGGTGAGTTACACGGCAAGTTTTCCCATCATTTTAATCAAATAGCTGTGGAATGCAATAGACTGACCAAATTGTTAGTCAGATTAGAAATAAGATCAGAAATCAAGGAGCTGAAAGGAACTTTAAAAAACAAAACAAAACAAAAAACAACACACACATGCCCTAGCAGGTTTGGTTCAGTGGATAGTGTCGGCCTGTGGTCTGAAGAGTCCCGGGTTCAATTCCAGTCAAGGGCACATGCCTGGGTTGTGGGCTCAATCCCCAGTAGGGGGCGTGCAGGAGGCAGCCGATAAATGATTCTCTCTCATTGACGTTTCTATCCTTCTCTTCCTCTCCCTTCCTCTCTGAAGTAAAAAGCAAAACAAACAAACAAAAAACAACAACTCCACGTTAACCTCCTTATTTTGCAAATGAGCAACTGAGGGTAGTCTGGAACACAGGAGGAGGGTGGGGGGATGAGATGGTGTCCTACAATTTAACCTGTTCAAGGTTCCAGTATGTTAAAAGTTTTCCACCATGACTGCATTCTTCTTTCAAAATGAGGGGCTCTAAGTCTCCAGGCCACCCACACTTGCAAGGATGAAAGAAGCAGAGAAGCCAGTAAGACCCACAGGGATGCTATGCACTGTGAGTGTACATGTGTACCTGTGTATGTATACACAGAGCGTGTGCTCTCTCTTCAGCTGAAGTTGAATACCACCACTCCCGAAAAGTGACACATGGGCATTTCTCCCTGTCCAAAGGGGTGCCTGAAATCTCTGGGGCAGTTTGGAAACCAGGACTCTTGTGATAACCGGAGAAGAATCACAAATCAAACCCCTCGACTTCCACCAAGGCCCAGGGCACAAACTGTGCCAGAGAAAGGCAGAGAAAGGCTGTGGTGAGTCCTGAGCCTATGGAGCTTCTCTTGCCATCCCTCCTCTCTGCAGCCCCTTTACAGCAGAATTCCTCACAGCACTAACCAGACAACTCACGGAAAGACCCAGGATGCAAGGAACTCAGTGAAAGGCAGGAGTGCCCGCAGGGAAACTCCGGAGAGACGATTACCCACAACCTTCCCCGGGGCCCAGATGATGGCAATCTAAGGCTCTGATCCAGGGGCCCCAGCCTTGGCCCTGACAGATGCTCACTGTGGCCAGGACCAGACATATCCGATCTAAACCTGCGGAGCTGGGGAATCTCCTCGCACAGATCGGTCCACCTCCGCTTCCTTCGGAGCGTAACCGCTTCTCGGTGCAGCTGGGATCAGAGCTCACCGCCCCGGATCAAGAAGCTCCCACCGCACTTTGCAACGGGGTGTCCTCCAGGGGCCACGTCTCCACAGTCCGCCTCTACCCACCTTCTCCGTGGGCTGAGCTCGGCAAGTATCCCCAAGTCCCCGAGGAGATTCCTCTTTGCCCACCTCTAACGCAAGCGAACAAGAGATCTACTTTCTGTCGCCAACAATCCTATCCAACCCAGGATTTCCCAGCCATCGGCCCAAATCTCTCTCTCTCTCTCTCTCTCTCTCTCTCTCTCTCTCTTTTTCTCTCTCACACACACACACACACACACACACACACACACACACACGGACACGCGAGCTGGCAGGAAGAAGCCTCCCCAGAAAGACCAGGGAAGCGAGTCCCGAAGTGCGTCCCGCGCTCGGGGCAGCCCGGGCGGGGACAGCTCCCTCCCGGGCGGGGACCGCTCCCGCCGCCGCGCAGGCCCGCCGGCCCCTCCCCCGCTCCCCTCACCTCGCGTTCGGGCCCCGCCGCTGCCGCCGCCGCCGCCGCCGCCGGTGGGGGAATTCGGCCCCGCCGACTGTTTGCGCCATCCCCGCCAGTTCTGGCAGAGGCTCTCGGCCTCGGAGATGAAGGAGCAGAGCGAATCCTCCTCAAAGCGGTCCGAATCCTCGAACGAGAAGCGCTCCCCGTCCTCCCACTCGGCGAACATCAGCTCCATGGGGCCCGCACCCCCCGGGGCCGGGTCCCCCCCCGCGGATCCGGGGCCTGGGCCTCCGGCCGGGGACTGAGGGGAGGCCCCGGGCCTGAGGGGCGAGCCGGGGCTGGGGGTGGCCGGGGCGCTCAGGGCGGCCGTGCCGGGCGAGGATCTCGGGCCTGGGGGGGATACGGAACCGAGCCTCGCCCCACTGCGAGGGGCGGACGGGGATCGCAGCCAGCCTCCGAGACTCGGGGCCCGGACGAAGCGCTGGGCAGCCCGGGCCTCTCTGTGGCTGCGGCACCGCCTCCCCCATCAGCTGATCTGCACTTCCGGCCGCGCCGGCCACCACCACTTCCGCCCTCGCGCGCCCGTGGACCGGGCTGAGCACGGGCAGATGTCGGGGCTCTGTGTGTTTAATTACTACATTTCCTGCTTTTTTTCCTGAAACCCACCCTCAGATACAATAAAAGGAAGCCAACCCCTAAAGGTAAACAAAACGACTACAGATCTCAGCAATAACGCGGCGTCCATAATGTCCCAAAGGCATAAGCATTCGCCAAGCACGCCGGGAATCGTAGGCTGTCAAACAGCACAGCACCATTGGGTAGTTATTGTCCTCTCTCCGGATAGGGCTCCGGGGCCGCTTCGCCTTCTGGGAATTGTAGTCCAGAAGCCTGTATGCCAGAAGACTTTATAGGCAAGCACCAGGAAGTGGTTGTACTTTTTGTCAGTGGGCGATTGAGTCTAGGGGTTCTTAGCCTTTTTGTGTGCCCTTTAGCAACCTGGTGAAGCCCCTGAACCCCCTTCTCAGATTGTTTATAAATGCACAAAATAAAAGTACAAGAATTATAAAGGAAATCAATTGTTGAAATACAATTATCAAAAATACTAATAAAACAAATTTGTACCACAGTAATATTTATTTGCACATTAAATAAGATCCAGCAGCTACATAATTTTGAAGCTAATGATGAGTATGATACTTAGGTACCTGTAACAAACTATAATATTTAGATTTGAAAATATTGATTTCATATACGTATTGCTAATGATACTGTGGTTTATTTCCCACTCTCTTAATTGAAATGCTGTATCAGTTGTGGTTAAAGATAAAATTGTTTTCCTATCCATGTTCACAGAAATCTTGCTGGGCATCTATTGACTCTAGGTTAAGAACTCTTAAGTCTAGTCTACAGTGTCTATAAACACTGAACTTCTCCCTATTGCTAAAAGCCTCACTAGCAGAGCCAGACAATTGCTAGATGCTCTACCTATCTGGTATGAGAACTATAGTAAGAGGTAGCTTTGGGGGATCAGAGAGGCAAGCAAGACTCCTTTATCATAATAATTATCCCAATGGAGCCTTAAAAACCCCACTAATCCTTTTGTCCATGTAATAATGCTGGAAGGAACAAAGAAAAGGTTGACTCAGTTATGACAGTAAGGGCAGAGTATACATAAAATACTATTCAGTTATTTCTAATATCGGGGATAGAGGTGTCACCAAAAATGCTTTCAGAAACTGGATAACTTAATGAGAGACGTAGACAGGTGACCATACAAAGGTAACTGCTGATTAAGTCACAGTTTCACCATTTGGAGTCTAGTGGACAGGTCCCTAGAAAATGGAGATGAACGATATTAATTATTGCCATGTGGTAATGAGAAATTAGGGTTACTGGATCTCTTCTTTTTTTTTAAAGAAAAGCTAAAAAATGTATGACTTTTTAAATTTTTTATAATTTTTAAAGAATAGGGAGAAGAGACAAACATCAGAGGGAGAAGGTAACATCCATCGCTACCTCCTGTATCCCGTAGTGGGGATGGAGCCTACAACCCCTGCTTGTGCCCTCACCAGGAATCCAACTAGCACCTTTTGGTGGACAGAAGGACATCCAACCAATTAAGCCACACCAGCCATGGCACATTTTTCTATTTTAAAATGTGATCAGCTAATATAAAAACAAATGTTTAACTATGTGGACCAAATCAAAGACAGTACTTTTGGGTCACTAGTTTGTGAAGTTCTGATATCCTGGGAATACCTTGCAGGGCCTATGCACAAAGTAGGTAGTCACTAAATATTTATAGATGATGGCAAAATACTCTGTATTGTAGGCAGACTTCAACACCCTTACTGCATCCAAAGGCAAGGGCACTAAGTGGTGTAAAGGAATTCAAATGCAGGATAAGACAAAGGTTTTTGTTCTGTTCCTGAGGCAAATCAAAGAGCAAAGAACTTCCAGAGGGGAGGATACAGGATTCAAGTATGGAGGGAGTAGCTAATCCGTAACAAAAGGCCAAGTTCTCTTCAGAGGAGTTTATTTCAAGATAAAACATAACTTCCATCCAGACATTATTTCCAAAGGGAGAAAAAAGTGTTTTGCCTCCTTTTACCCTTCACATAGAGCATGACAGTGCAAATGTCTCTAAAACGCCTCTGCATATACTCAGAAGCTACAGTCCAGTCATTGAAAATGCTTCTCCATCTTCAGCTGAGATGTGATTTGTTAGGAAACATCTGTAACAACATATTCACTTTCTGGGGGGGTAAATTCCCATACTCTCCCTGGATTGATCTCATCTTTCGGGCTGCCTGAAAACACAAAACAAAAATAAAAAATGACAGCTCTCAAGTTTATTCCAATCTAGGACAATGGTTCTCACAAAGCCCCAAAACACCTTAAGATTTTAACCACCCTGCAGAGATCTGTCATCTTCTCAGTCCCCTTTCAACAAAAAACGACACGGGACCTACAAATGACTGTAGGATCTGAAGCTACCATGCCAACTAGCAACTAAGCCTAGGCTGGAAACCAAACCATCTATCCATTGTCTTTAGTTCTATTTCAGAGAATGTCTATTTAAGCAGCAACTTAAATTTTGCAAATTGGTTTCCCATTCATTCCTTCATGTGACACTCACAAAAAAACTATATTAGTATTTAACTTTTTTTTATCCTCCACTTTGTTTTTTTTAAAATTAACTTATTTATTTTATTGGTTATGGCCTCAGATAATTGTCCTTATCCCCCCATTCCCATCCCAAACCCCTCCCCACACATGCCTCCACCCCTCCTGTTGCCCATGGCCACTGGCTAGGCCCATATGCATGCACACAAGTCCTTTAGTTGATCTCTTCCCCTTATCCCACCCTCCCCTACTTTCCCTCTGTTTGAGTCTGGCCGCTGCTTCTCTTTCTCTGGGTCTGTTTTTGTTCATCAGTTTATGTTGTTAACTTCTTTTTACATCTGGTAAAGCTCAAGATCATAATGCCTTCACAACCTAACCTTCCCCACTTTGGTGTAGGTGAAATAGCTCCCGAAACTTTCCTCGCCCTTGTAAAATGAGAGGGGCTTTCTTACTACCTAGCAAGAGGCAGTTGGATCCCACCCACCCCCATCCCATCCCACCCACCCACCCCCACACCCGATCCCGCCCCGCCACCCCGCCCCAACTCCGTTATCCTCTTCAGAGGGCACTCCAGGAGCCTGGTCACCTCAGCCTTCGAAGCACAATCGAAGAAGCTCTGGATCTCTTTTTTGCACGCTTCGTCGCGGAATTCATTCTGCTTCCAGCAAGACATCATCACCGACATCTCTGTGATACAGGTCGCCTCTGCAGGGGGCGTGGGGAGACTCAGCCATGTAGGAGGCCCTTACCTCCCAGCCCTCCCACCCAGCCGCCCCCCTGCACCCCTCGGCTTCCGGCTGGGACTGCTCACCGCCCCTGTCCCGGCGCCGCTCTCCGACGCGGTTAGCTAGGATGAGGGGCTTGCTGGGCTTCAGCACCGGCTTCCGCGGGTTTCCCAGCCGGGCTAGGCGGCCCCGCAGGCTGGGAGTCGCCATGGTGCACCGGGCTCCCGGCAGGCTCTGCGGCGCCGTGCGTGACCCTGCGTGACCCCGACGAGGTCGACGCGCTCGGCGCCCGGCGGGCGGAAGCCCCGCGGCCTGGCTCGGTGCTCCTGTTTTACTCTCGGCGGGGTCGGCCCGGTTCTGTGCCGGACCGGCGGTCCAGACCGGCGTGCAGGTTCGGAGAACTTGGGCTCCTGGGCTCACCTCGGCCACGCCTTCCCAGCTCCCGGCTCGGAGGTCCCCTGGCTGTTCCTGGGCCCGGAACCCCGGAAAGGGCCCCCAGAAAGGAGCGCTCTGTGCCGGGCTCGCCGGCTGGTTAGAGAGATGGACTTCCTCAGGCCAGAGAGGATGGGAGACTTGAAGATGGTCATTTGGGAACGCTTTTTGTTGCTCTATAAGCCTTCAGTGACTGTTGGTTTTGACTCTCTTCAGAACCACCGCCAAAGCCGAAAAGAAAAACTTGGCTCGTTTATTTGAACAGGTGCTACCGCGCAGATAGCATTTGCTCATTTGGAATCTCATTGGATAGGGGGAAGTTTAAGCACTTTCGCCTTCACGGTCTTATTTAATACGCTTGACAGTCTTGTGAAGATACTTGGTAGTATCATTCCTGTTTTGTTTTATTTTTTAATATATTTTATTGATTTTTTTTTTTTTTTTTTTTTTTTTACAGAGAGGAAGGGAGAGGGATAGAGTTAGAAACAACCATGGGAGAGAAACATGGATCAGCTGCCTCCTGCACACCCCCTACTGGGGATGTGCCCTTGACCGGAATCGAATCTGGGACCCGTTAGTCCTCAAGCCCACACTCTATCCACTGAGCCAAACCGGTTAGAGCTCATTCCTGTTTTTAAAAAATATATTTTGTTATCAGACAGAAAGGGAGAGGGAGAGAGAGAAACCTCAACAATGAGAGAGAATGGATGAGAGAGAATCATTTGTCAGCTGCCTCCTGCACGCCCCTCATTGGGGATTGAGCCCGCAACCCAGGCATATGCCCTTGACTAGAATGGAACCTGGACCCTTCAGTCTAAACAGCGAGGCCCTAGGGTGTATCATTCCTATTTATAGACTTGGCCCCTCTGTTGTGATGTCTAGCTCCATCAAACTTGGTTCTAAGTGACTTAATTGTTTACAAAACATTCCAAAGATGTGCCATGGATTCTCAAGCAGTTTACAAAATAACCACTAAAAATGTGTCTGGTAATGGAAGCATAATTTGACCAATCTTATAGTTCTGAAGGTGACTAGAGGGGGTCCCCAAAAATGTATGTACACATTTTAATAGCTGATAACTAAATTTTGAAAATGAAATGTATTTTAATAAACACTGCCTTTATAATTATTCAAAATGTGTGTAAACTTAGCTGGGTAAATTTAGTGGCTAAAATAATTTATCACAGATATTTGTAATCTTCCCATTTATCTCTTCACGAATGGTTCTTTTTCCTGTTGATTTTCCGTTCATGTCAGAGAGGCCTTCCTTGACTTCTCACACCCCATCACCACAACCTGTTTTATTTTCTTCATAACTCTTATCACGGTCTGAGTTATTTTGTTCATTTACTGCTTGTTTACCCCCTTACTACCAACACCCATTTGAAATGTAAGCACCATGAGAGAAAGGACCTTGTCTATTTTGTTCATTGCTGAATCCTTAGTGCCCAGACTCAATAATTACTTGTTAAATGAATAGATGTTTGAAATATCCAACTTTATCTTGCTCATCATAGAAATATAACCAACCAGAAGACAGTTTTAAAAAATAAGCCATTTATTATACAAAAGGAAACCTGAGGTAACAGAAAATAACAATACTTGGAGTAATAACAGAATCAGCCCCATGCGTCACCCCCTCTCCAGCAGAGGATAAAACCGGTTCCTATCAGAAATGTCCGCTAACAGCCCCACGCCTGCTGCTGTTACGGAGCAGACTGTGTCCCACACCAGAGGAGATCCCCACGGCCTGCTTTCTCCAAGGGAGAGGGAAGCCTTCAGTTGGTAAGTGCCATGTGGCTATTCCTGGTTCTGCTTTTCCTTATGGAAATGTAGCACCCGGCTTATTCTGCTCCTTTGTGAATATTTTCTGCTTTCCCTTACAGAAATGTAGCACCTTGCTTACTCTGCTCCTTTGTGAATATTTTTATGGCAATAGGGATAAAGGAAAAAAGTCTGGGAAGTACTGACCACAAAGCAGGCACGAGTCTCCAGCCACAATAATTCATTAACAACTAGCCCACTCTGTACATAAAAGTGCTAAAGGAGTGCCACTGTGAACTGTTGTGATTAGACAGGAAAGGGAAGGATGATTCTACATCTGGTGTAACTACAATCACTTACTCTTTTTACTGCCCATAATGAAAGTCCTAATTTTAGCTTGTCCTTGGTACTAGTATTTTGTTTTTCTGGGGTTTTTTCATGTACAAAAAGTGCTAACTACCCGAAACCGGTTTGGCTCAATGGATAAAGCGTCAGCCTGCGGACTGAGAAGTCCTGGGTTCGATTTCGGTCAAGGGCATGTACCTTGGTTGCGGGCACATCCCCAGTAGGGGGTGTGCAAGAGGCAGCTGATCGATGATTCTCTCTCATCGATGTTTCTAGCTCTCTGTCCCTCTCTTTAATATTAAAAAAAAAAAAGTGCTAACTAGTCGGAACAATTATTATTTTTGAATTTTAATGAAGAACCAGACAAGAAAGGCAGTTAATTTCTACCTAGTGATCTGATATGGTCCTTGGAGCCATGCCACAGTGTGCATTGCTTTAACTGAACAAGGCTCTCAGTATTGTCTGGCCATGTGCCTAGCAAAAAGCCACTGATTCAATTATGGGATGCAGAAAGATAAGGTTACATAGTCATTTTATAGCACTCAACTTCTAAACTAGGGGGAGAGATTAGGGAAAAAACAATGATTATTTAATTATTTAACAGCAGGAAAACAAAAATTTTAATATGTGTCAATTGAGAATTCACGTAAACATGAAAGCCAATGATTTATTTTTAAAAAGACATCTAATTGGGTGAAGCCAATTCTATGGAACTTGGATATGAACAATAAATATGTATGTTATAGGTTTCTTATACAGTTGTCTAGGGAAAAACCCTCGATCACTTTTCTGAATAGTGGCCCATTGTGGAAAAACAATAATATATACAGTAATTTCTTTAATGTCATCAGTTATGCTGGGTATCAAAAGATATTTTTTATTGGCCATAATAAAATATACTGGATAATTCTAGATGATTAAACTTTTTTTAAAAACATGCCGGGACCGGTTTGGCTCAGTGGATAGAGCATCGGCCTGCGGACTGAAAGGTCCCGGGTTCGATTCCGGGCAAGGGCATGTACCTTGGTTGCGGGCACATCCCCAGTGGGGGGTGTGCAAGAGGCGGCTGATCGATGATTCTCATCGATGTTTCTAACTCTCTCTCCCTCTCTTCCTCTCTGTGAAAAATCAATAAAATATATATTTAAAAAATAAATAAATAAAATAAACTTTTTAAAAAAACATATCTATTGATAACACATTTATTATTCCACTTTTTTTTTTGTCTCAGAGTTGTTTTTATTTTTTGTTTTTATTACCCTCTCCAGCCTGCCTCTATAAATCAGCATTTGTATTTGAACAAATTGCAAGCTTAGAAATCAGTCCTGAATTTGACTTCAGTTGTGAATTCCTACTGTATCAAATTTTAGTAAAAGTATTAAAAATTTTTCTTTTTTAATTTACTGATTTTAGAGAGAAAGGGAGAGGGAGAGAGAAACATTGATTTGTTGTTCCATTAACTTATGCATTCACTGATTAATTCTTATACGTGTCCTGACCGGGGATTGAACCCATAACACCTTGATGTATTGGTATGATGCTCTAACCAAATGAGCTACCCAGACAGGGCAGACAGAAGATCTGCATTACCTCTTTTTCTTTTGAAGATCTAGCCTTACCTCTTTTCCTTTTCTGCAAAAGACTATATAGGTTAATCAAACTTTCCATGCTAATGTGAGGGGGCATTTTTTATTAAAGAATAGAATGAAAAAAGAAATCCCACATCCTTAGATGTTACAATATTAAGCGTGGGACCCTCGTTGTTGAGACATCTACATATATTTGTATTAACTCTGTTAGTAAAAAATTTATACATACATTCACACTAATTTACCACCAGATATACTGATAAACTATGGAACTTTTCTGGTGATAATTCATTAATACAACTTTACAACCAGGGTAGCTCTAACGGCCAAGATATTCTTCCCTGTTTCTCTGCTCTAGAAAAAGCTGATGACCTCTCTGCTCATTAAGCTATATATTAGTCACAGCAATAGAAGGTTTGGCTACATCCCCAAATTGGACTAACAGCTTTTTTGTTGCTGTTTTGTTAATCCTCTCCCACGGATATTTTTCCACTGATTTTTAGAGAGAGGAGGAGGGAGGGGGAGAGACAGAGTCAGAGAGAAACATCGATGTGAGAGAGAAACACTGATTGGTTGCCTCCTGCACATGCTGACAGGGATCAGCCTGCCGGAATCGAACCTGGGACCCTTCGGTCTGTGGGCTGATGCTCTATCCACTGAGCCAAACCAACTTGAGCTTGACTAACAGCTTTTTATTTAGCCAGCCACTTGTGGCAGCTTAAATCTCTTGCCTCACCTCTCATCTCCTTGGCCTTGGGTGGGCACCATCAAAATGTGGTCTCAGAAATACTATCAAGTTGTATAAAAGAATATAAGTAATAGAATGAATGAAGCTAGAATATTCATCCTACTTAAAATGAAAAGTACTACAGAGTATGAGCTATACTGCTGGGCTGTTTTTTTTTTTCTCATAATTTTCATGACAGTGGGAAATGGGACTTTTGTAATATATAAAAAATAAAAGAGGGAAAACTTCATTAGACAGAAAAGAACAAATACATATAAAACTCTTCACTTTGATTTACACAGGCCTATTTTAACATTTCTAAATTTTATATATATACTAGAGGCCTGGTGCATGCCATTTGTGCACTGAGGGGGGGAGGGGTCCCCTCAGCCTGGCCTGTGCCCTTTCACAGTCTGGGAGCACTCAGGGGATGTCCAACTGATGGCTTAGGCCCACTCACCTCTAGGCCTAAGCCACAGTCCAACATCCTTAGCGCCAGTGCTGCCATCAGCCCAGTTTGTGGCTGAGTGGTGCTCCCCCTGTGGGAGCGCACTGACCACCAAGAGGGCAGCTCATGTGTTGAGTGTCTGCCCCCTGGTGGTCAGTGCACACCATAGCAACCAGTCGGTTTGCATATAAGCCCATTATTATATAGAATTATATAAATTAAAACTGTCAAATCTATAACCAATTTAATACAGAGAAGAACGAATGTGGGAATGGTGGCAAGGCTGCTGTATCTTCATCAGAAATTGTGGAAAACTAGGAAAAGGAAAAAATTTTTAAATAAAAAGACTAACATGAAAACCAAGGTAAATGATATTAAAAAAAATACAACTCCAGAGAACTAGAATACACCACCAGGAGTTTCACTTCATCGCCAACGTAACAGCTCATAAAGCAGAATATCTGGAAAAGAGATCAGAAAAGGTACTAAGTAATAAGGGGTTTGAAAACTAGCGCGTGAGAAATCTTACCTCATTTGTAGCTAAGTACTAAGTGTTGTCCCAATCATAACTGAGAGGATGAAATGGCTAGAGAAATAAGCAGTTCTTTAAAAATTCTGTTGGCTCTGCACCTTGAATCAAAAGGCTTCTGTTTTCCACCAAACTAAGGCCTGGATGCCTTCATCTCTCCTTGAGGAGAGGCCCTGTTACCACAGTCTAAGACCCTGGCTACACATCATTAGGATAAAACATCAGTCGATACAACTGGAATCCCTTAAATTCAGGGTAAGACAATGTTCGTTAAGAGTTTGTGCAGCATGTCCTGTGGGAGAAGGACTTCCATCTCCTTAGCTCTGCCAAGTTACCAGCTCTCGCAGGGTAATTAGAGATTTTGGTTCCTTTTCAGGAAGATCTCGTGTAGGTAATCCCAAAACTTCCCCTGCTGTGTCTCATTGTTGTGGATCATGGCAGTGAGAGCTTCCCCCTGGTCCAGGCCTTGCCAGTAGTCTTGCAGCCACATCTCCTTCCAGCTGAAACATCAAAACAAGGGTTGGATTAGGGAACCTCAGCACAGCGATGGAGTCAACAAAACCTCAGGCAGAGACCGTGGTGTCTGTGTAGCACAGGGCTGTGTGCAGGAGGCAGTTGATGGATATTTCTCTCTCATTGATGTTTCTGACTCTCTATCCCTCTCCTTTCCTCTCTGTAAAAAAAATCAATAAAATATATTTTTTAAAAAGAGATATCCTGAATTTATTAAGTGTTTTCCTCTAGTAAATCATATCATGTTCAGCATAAACTAGATACAAATTACTTAATGGAGGACTTCATTTCCATGACCAAACTGTGCCAGTAGCACATGCCAGTGTAAACAACCCTCTGCTGCCATCCACTGTCAAAGGGGGTCTCTGCAGGCCAATCTAGCAACCTCTTTTTCTCAAGTTTAATAATCTTTCACTGCCTCTTTCCCAATAGGCCGGGTTTGCTGCAAGAGGATTCAGTATTTTCCCACTCCACCTCCCATGCTGACCTTACTACCCAATGCTGATACGTTCTGCCATCTGCCGCAGCAGCCTAATCCACACTGCCCACCATTGACAATTATCTTTTTTTTTTAAAATATATTTTATTGATTTTGTACAGAGAGGGAGACAGATAGTTAGAAACATCGATGGGAAAGAGTTATCGATCAGCTGCCTCTTGCACACTCCCTACTGGGGATGTGCCCGCAACCAAGGTACATGCCCTTGACCGGAATCGAACCCGGGACCCTTCAGTCCCCAAGCCGACGCTCTATCCATTGAGCCAAACCGGTTTCGGCGACAATTATCTTTTTTTAAAGAATTCCCTCTAAAAAAGAGAAAAAAAGAATTCCCTCTATTCTGTCTAGAGTGAATATAAAATTCTGTCTAGGGTGAATCATCCAAATCAGGATACCTTTAAGAGTGAAAGGATGCCCTGGCTGGTTTGGCTCAGTGGATGGAGGTCCCAGGTTCGATTCCGGTCAGGGGCATGTACCTTGGTTGCAGGCACATACCCAGTGAGGATTGTGCGGGAGGCAGCTGATCGATGTTTCTCTCTCATCAATATTTCTAACTCTCTATCCCTCTCCCTTCCTCTCTGTAAAAAAATCAGTGATTTTATTTTTTTTAAAGAGTGAAAGGTGGTGTTAATAATTACACCAGGTTAACAGGTATGAACCCTGTTAACCTGGAATCCAGTCCCTCACGGAGGGGGAGCCGCGGTACACGGGCACGGCGCCCAGGTGCATGGGGCGCCACAGTTTTTCGGTCATGTAGTCGTCACAGATGGCGTTTTAACTTTAACTTATTAACTTCTCTCAAAATACTCTTCTTTGTACTCCTCACCCTCACCCACACCATTTACGTATACAAAAGGTGCTCCATAAATAGCTGAACTGATTTTCAGGACAGTTCAATTTCCGAGGCTGGTACTCAGGCTACGTGTATCCTGGCTGCACTTTATCTGCCCAACTTTGTCTCTCCCTCGTCACTTTTTTGAACAAGCGCTCTGCTCTGGTTGAAAACCTGTTTGAGTTACTATGGCAAAGGGTGTGCACATGAGCCGATTTTCACATGTTGTTGCCTTGAATTATCGCTTACGTCTTTACTGAGCTTTTCCACATGTTGTTGCCTTGAATTATCGTTTACGTCTTTGCTGAGCTATATCCCCAGCTAGACCCTGGACCCCTTAAATGCAGAGTCCCCTCTCCTAACTCCTTTCTACCACAGCCCCTCAGCACCTCGTGCTAATTCACTGTCCACAGTAAGCAAGTTAGTAAATAATTTGATTTAATGGCTGCAGGGGACCCCAGCTCCCTTACCTGTCACTCCCAGGAATCTCCTCCACGCTGCCAAAGCCAGGAGTTGGCACTGGGCAGTCCATGTGTGAGGGCTGGGCAATGCGAGGCTCAGGGACAGGGGTGTCAGCGGGGGAGGCTGCGTGGGCTTTCTCGGCCTCCAGCCTGGCCAGCTCATGGTCACAGACGAAACACTCGAAGCCGTTGAGGTAGTTGGGCAACGATGGGTCATTCACCCCCCACTCCCGGTGCTTCAGGCTATCCAGGAGGAACTGGTTGGTGATGCCCCCGGGTTGTTTGTAAGCCAGATATTTCATATACTCCTCGTCATTCCTGTCCAGAAAGTCAATGAACTCCGCCAGCTTCTGGGGCGACTCGAAGTCATCAATGAGGATGATGGAGTGGTTGTTGGGCATCCAGTCCCTCACGGAGGGGGAGCCGCGGTACACGGGCACGGCGCCCAGGTGCATGGGGCGCCACAGTTTTTCGGTCATGTAGTCGTCACAGATGGCGTTTTCGAGGGCCAGGTGGAACTTGTAGCGGGACAAGAAGGCCAAGAGCTCCGGGTCCTCGGTGGTGGCGGTGGCCGTGTCCTGTAGCCGCGGCGTGGGCAGCTCCCGGTTCTGCAGGCACTTCCCGTACGAGTCCACCTGCGCGGGGCAGAGTAACAGGTCAGGCGGGCGCGGCCCGGCCGCCAGGGCGGGGGTCCCGGCCTCCGCCTGGCGCACCCCCCCCCCCCAGCCCCCGCGCTCGCACCCACCGGGATGTGGCGCATGAGCTCGCGCACGTAGCGGTCGCGGTCGGCGGGCACGTCGCAGTGGGACTGCAGGTAGAGCAGCGGCGCGTAGCCGCGGCGCCGCCACTCGGCGCGCTCCCGGAGCGGGGGCGCGGCGCGGCGCAGGTAGGCGGCGTCGGGCAGCCACTGCAGCGGCAGCGGGTAGTCCGAGTGGCGGCTGAAGGTGGCGGTGAGGTTAAAGAGGCGGATGCCCGTCCCGTGGCTCAGCAGGAAGTTGTTGAGCGGCGACTCCTCGTGCAGCAGCGCCCAGCTCTGGTGCGCCAGGCGGGGCAGCGGCGCCTCGGACGCGCGGAAGTCGGTGCCGTAGAAGAGCAGCGCGCGCGTGCGCGAGTGGCCGCGCGCCCGCCGGTCCCGGGACGCCACGCACGCGCCGCGCGCGCACTCGATGCGCTCCGAGTCCCCCGGGAAGTGGGGGAACAGCCCCGGGCTCCACCACAGCAGCACCGGCAGGTCCGCCGCGTCTTTCCTCCCCGGCCGCGGGGGCTCCGGGCTGCGCGCCACCCCCACCGCGCCCAGCGCCGAGGGCGTCCGGAAGACCGCGCCGTCCCACGGCTCCGCCCACTCCGCCTCGTCTCCGGGCTCCCCTTCTGCCCCGGGCCCGGAGCCGCTGGCCGCACAGACAGCCAGCACACCCAGGGCGGCTAGCACGGCCCGGGTGCGGCCGGCCGCCATGTCCACCCCGGCAGCCAGCCCCCGGACGGCACCGGACCCCGCCCCGCGCCGAGTTGTCCCGGGAACTGGGCCCTGCGCGGTGGGGCCTGTGGCGCATGCGCAGCTCCTCCCAGCCGTCCACTGCCCGGGAGCTAACACGTCTAGTAGGAAGGACTGGAGGGCAAGTAAAAACGAGGCTGCTGGTTACATCTTAATTTACTTTATTTCTTTACAAATTAAAGATGCATTGAAAAATAAACCAATGAAGAGAAATGACAAGTCCAGAGCAGGGGCATCCCAGGCTGGGGGTAGGGAAGCCTGGCCAGCATCAAGCCTAGCCCTTGTCCTGCTCCAGCCAGTTCGGGTTGGAAGATAACTGTCAGCCACTTTATCGATATCAGAGCCCAAGTGGTGTCCCGGGAGGAGAGTACAGAGCTCTGGCCACCTCTGCCTCTCCCCTCAACAATCCCCAGCTCGGAGAAGCAGCGTTTCCAGCGGGAGCTCAGAGTGGGATGTGGGCTGGCTCTGTGAGGTATTGCAAGTTGATGACCAGGCTTCCTACAGAACCATCCAGTATTGGGGTCTCTCCAGCTGGAAAGTAGGCTGGCACCTCCCCCAAGTCTTAATATACTTTGCAACTCAGTTCCCAGGCTCATTCACCTCTGACAGCGTGCCTCTATGATCACTATGAAGGAGTGATCACCAGTCATTACAGAACAAAAGCATGGCAGCAGAGAAAGCTAATCAACCAGCCTCAGTAATTTTGACTTGGCTGCTGACTTCCAGGCCCATGAAGGATCAACCACTTTTCTCTCCACCACCTAAGGTTTAAACCCTAGCTCTTGTGCATCTGTATGTTTATCCCTAATATAGGAAGTTGTTGATGGCACTGAGCTGAATTAGTGGGTCCCTCCCTCCCCCCACATAGTAACCCTGGGTTCCCCACTCCTTCCTGCCTGCTCTCTTTTCTTGGAGGTTGGTCCAAAGGGGCATGATATCACCAGGGTCCGGGTACCTCCAAATCCCCCAACTGAATCATATACAGTGAACTGAGAAACTACATTCATTACAACCGGATTAGCAGGAAAAGGGCAAAGTGAAGGGATAGGGGCACCTTCTATCAGCAGGACATGACAGAGTGGGAGGTTACTTGAGTCCAGAAAGAAGGTGTCTCCTTATACCTCTCCCTCCCCCCCACAGAGACTGAGGTCAGCTTACATGACTTTTAAGATATGGAACTGTCCTGATTTCCCTGCTACCCTAGGGTACTTTCTGGAAGCTGGCCTGGGACCTTATGCCCTTTACCCACTTGCTCTAGCTCAGTAGCTGCCGAATCTCCTTGTGCATATGACAGAGAAAGTCCACATAGGATGCTCCCCCGCTCAGGCTCTTGTCTTCCACCAGGAAGTGCTTGAACAGCATCTCCAGCTTGTCCTCCTGCTTCACCACGATAAGCTATGGCCAGAACACAGCGTCATGAGGCAGAGCCAATGGGAATCAAGCATGCCCTGAAATCCCATTATCTAGTCACTCACTCTCTACCCCACTTCAGGGTGAGAACTTGACCAGGTAAAAAACCCAAGGTTCAGATCAGTGTTACCTTCATGTACCGCGATCTCTGTGCCCTTAAGCTATCGATGAGGCCTCGCACCTTCTTGGACAGCGGATTATCCAGAACGGGCAGAATACTCTGGAACACAAAATTCATTCATCCTTATGGTAAGGAACTCTGAGTCAATAGGGGGCAGCACAGGCTTATGCATCATCTGAAACAAGGAAGCCTGGAAGAAGGACAGCACCCTCCCTGCCCTTCAAGTGCTCCTGCTATTTGAGGGGACTAGCACAAAACCTGTATTGGTTCCTACCACAGAGTACATTTCCACACCTTGTTCTCCTTGGTGCCCTGCCCTTACCAAGCCGCTGGTGATCTGGCTGAAGGAGGAGACGTTGAAGAGGCTCTGGACAACGCCCTGCTGGACTCCTGCTCCCACCCAGATGAATAGGTTGAGCCCGTTCTCCAGCAGATATATGTCCCCATTGCTCAGACGCTCCTCAGAGGCTCGGATTGCTGGTGGTTCAGTGGTATTCTCAATGGGAGACTTTGTCTAGACAGAAGGAAAGGGGAGAAATGTTACTGAGAACATGAGACACATGTACTGCCCCCCCCACACACATACACACACACACAAAAATTTCAGAAATCTAAGTCCCTCGGTAATTCTGTGAAAATTAAATTGGACGACATAGGTAAAAATAAATTAATGTCACTCCTTCTATGATGCCCCTTTCTCAGTGCAATGTCTCACTGTCCAGCCCTCAGTCGCACCAAAGGAAGGAGCCGAGGATAGAAGAACACATTGGTCTCAGCCACATCCATGCAGGTAACCAGCTGTCGGACATAGGCACGGTCATCAGTAGTGACTTCTGCTCCAGGCTGCAGGACATCACTCTTCAGCACACAGTTCAGGTAAACTGGGAGCAGCTTCATGCACTCAGGGAGGATCAGCTGGAGGGGGTTATCAAGTTGAAGTCAATAATCATGAGAAATCCCTCCCAAATGCAAACATTTGTCCCAACATCTCCTCCGCCAACATGCTTGCCCACCTGTCCTGCAGAGGAGGGGCTGGCACAGTTCTTTCTGTAACAGGCCAGGATCTGAGCACACTGGGTGATAAGAGTGTCACGAACGGTCTTCACAGGGCTGTTTAGGACCCCCCGGTAGGCTGGATGGGAAAGAGAAATAGCAGTCACTACTCAGCCACTCCATCACGGGTCTTACCACCACATCTACCTGGGACTGCTGAATCGTTAACCGTCACCTTTTTCAGCCCAAATCCCATCCTGGCCTGCCTCTATCCTCACCAAACTTGGCCATGTAGTTAATGAGCGTGTCGGTCTCGCAGTTTCGATACAGATCAGCTAGCTGGGTGCAGCAGTTGAGGGCCAGGTTGTGTATGCGGAGCCGACGCTGCCCTCCACAGCTGGTGTAGAGCAGGGCACACTAGGGGAAGAGAGAGAAAGGGAGCTTACACCCTTCCCACACCAATCCCTCTGAGAAACTGTCCCTTTGCTATATTATTAAACTAAGACATGAGCCGTCCCTTCCCCAGCCTCCAGTCTTCTCTACCCACCCCTCACCCTCTTCCCTGCAGCCTATGTCCAGTGAAGGGACACCTGAGGCTTCCTCTCCAGTCCCTGCCTCCCGCCTGCTGCCTGCCACCTGCAGGAGGGCTCCGCTCTCTTCATTGAGCCGATCGTCATGCTTGAACTCCACAGTCACCGTCTTTTCCCCATCCAGGCCAGCCAGCTCCACATCTGTTGTATTGCTCATGTAGAAAGCCCCGAAGAAATCCACAGCACGGATACCTGAGGCCACATGGACAGGGTCAGGGCTAAAGGTATGACAGGTGCCACTTGCCTCCCTCCTGCCCCGCCCCCCACCTGCTCTTCTCAACCAGGACTGACCAGTGCTCGTCCGGACTCGCATCACAGCATCAAAGCCAACGACCTTCTCTACATCCCGACGCAGATCACTCATGAACCGCTCCTGATCGTTCTCCACCTGCAGCCGCACAGGCCCAAAGCCACATCACACAACATCCTGCAAACAATCTCCCTGCATCCCCTCCACTCTGCAAGCTGCTGACTCATACTGACAGCAACAGAGAAGAGGATGATGTGGTGGCGGTGAAGATAATGATACCTGTTAAGCACATTATATGCCAGGTACCACATCAAAAGCTTTATATATAATTACTTAATCCTGATGACAAATCCTAATTAATAAGTATTAAAATCCTACTTTACATATGAAGAAAGAGACAAGTAATTTCCCCAAGGTCATAGTAAGTGGTAGGGCCAGAATATTAAACCAGGACTGATTCTAAGCCCCACACTACAAAGCACTACACTTATGGCTCGCTCTCTCTCTCTCTCTCTCTCTCTTTTTTTTTTTCTTTTTTTTTTTTAATATATTTTTATTATTTCAGAGAGGAAGGGAGAGGGAAAGAGACAGAAACATCAATGATAACAGAGAATCATTGATTGCCTGTCTCCTGCACGACCCCTACTGGGGATCGAGCCCGCAATCTGGGCATGTGCCCTTGACTGGAATCAAACCTGGGACCCTTCAGTCCAGAGGCCGACATTATTCACTGAGCCAAACCAGCTAGGGCACATGGCTCTCTTCTTCACACTATGTGGTCTTCCCCTCTAACACTATTCATATTAATGAGTCAGTAGCTAAAGACATGTAGGCAGACACTCCCAGTCCTGTTCCACGTGCCACCCAGAGTCCCATGCTGTACCTGAAAGCAAGCGTATTTGTAGACAGAGCCACCAGTGAGCTGGGGTACCACAGAGAGCGTCGCCACATCAACATACTGGTTAGGGAAGAGGAAGAGGTCTACACAGCAACCTTGGGCCACACACTCTTTGGCCAGGGCCTGGTAAGTGCCTGTCTGAGGCTGGAACAGCGTCTGGGGAGGAATAGAAAACGTTCAAATATCTCAGCTCCAAATATCTCATATATTTAATATGGAATATTCAAATGTAAACTTCAGCCTATTCATAGAAGAGTTTGTAATGGTAGAGGAATGTTCTCTTTAAAAAAAAAAAAGAAAAGAAAAAAAAAATCTACCCAGGGCTTTGGGATGAGATGGGATAGAAAGATGGGAGCAGTGAGGAAGGTTGGCAGTTAGAGATGTCACTTGTGAAAGAGCAGAGTATCCAATCCCAGTTCCCCTTAAGAAAAGTGAGAATACTGTATTGCATTGCATTGGGAAGAGTCACTACCCTCCTCTATAACGGAGGTTCTCCCCCTATTCCCAACCCCACACCTTCTCTTTGTCTGTGTTGATCAACTTCCTGTCATCTCTGTTCTTCAGTTTCCCTGGGGCCTCGGCAATGGGCAGGGAGGTGTGGAATATAAACAGCTTCCCTGCACATTCGGCAGCCTAGGAAAGAAGAGAAGACTACTTGTTCATTCTTTCCTTCATTCATCTATTATTCATTCATCCCCTCCCTGTCCTTTCTTCAGTGCCAGCTGTGTCAGGCAGGCTGACTCACTGGAGAGGCATCAATCACTGAAGAAACAGGAGTTGTACCCCAGGGGGTACACTGGCCAGAGGAAAACAAGCAGAGGAGGTTGCTAGGGATGCTAGTCTTACCTTCAGTGCCTCCATCCCAGCCTGGATGACTGGGGCGAATACTGTCTCTGTCTCTCTTGTGTCTGCAAACATTTCTGGAATCTGATCCAATAAGCTGAAGAGATAGGTAATGGGAAGCATTCAACATTGATATCCAGATTCCAAAGTCCCCAATTCCCTGAAGAGTCATCTGGGAAGAGCCCCCAATCTCTGAAAACTCCTGACGCACAGCTCCTGTCCTTCTGCTGACCCCTTTGCTCAAGTCTAGGGCTTTCCATAGTTGTTCCCGCCCCATCGCCCACTTTACACCCACAATCTGGCTCTTACCTGATGATGACTGCCCGAGACTCGTTGACATTGACCAGGAAGCCATCCAGCAGTGGCACAAACATGTCAGCCACATCAGATACAACCATCATCTGTGGCTGGGCCAAGGAGCTCTTCACGTTATAGAAGTGGAGCACCTTATTATAGGTGACGAAGCCAACTCGGATTGCTGACTCTTCCGCTCCTCCCTCCCTGTAGAAAGTGATAGCGTTACCCAGACCTGTCACCTTCTCCACCGCTGAGCTTCATGACATCAGGCTCCACCGGCTGCCAACCCTGTCCCCCCCCCCCCTTCATTATGCAAAGGAAGCACCTCCGCTCCCTAACTCTCACCTAGGTAGAAAGTCTAACAGTGACTTAAGCTCCTCACAGAGGAGCCTAACAAGACCACTCCTGATGGCATTGTAGGAGACATCAATCATGAAGATGAAGGCAGGAGGGCTGGGGAACTTATTGTTCTGCAAAGGAAAGAAATGTTGGGGGCAGGGAGACATTGGTAAGCAGGCTAGTTGATTAGAGAGAAGTCAAGTGGACAAAGAAGGGGTAAATGATCACAGCAATTCTTAGCTGTCTCATTGTCCTCTACCCACTGTCCCTCCCCAGGGTATCTCCTCTCACCTTGCAGTAATCTACAGTGGCCAAGAATTCATAGGAGCCCAGGGAAAGCTCAGGACGATCATAAGCATCCACACGTTTGCCGGTGTGATCCAGATGTTGAAAATACTGGGGGGGAACTGTGAGGAGTATGGCAGAGGGTTATTCAAAGGTCCACTCTCAATTTTAGTAAGTCTGGCCCTGACTGAGCTCACTCTACTGCCCTGCATCCTCATATGTGTCCTACTTCCCTGATTCCTATATAATGACCCTCATCTATCTAACTAGAAAGAAAACACTGAAGATGCAATCCAGATCTCCCTCCAGTCCCAGCCCCAGTGAACATACCGTCATTGATACAGCTGCAAAAGCAGCACTGGAAGCGTCTCCCTCCCTCAACGAACTGCATGAAAGGGCACATGTATGCTTTGCAACGATTGCAGCGCAGAGGGCCAGATTCCCCGTGGTCAACGACATACGGTGAAGCCTAAGGAGCAAAGAGGAAGGGCTCAGACACACAGGAAAGCTTCAGTCAGTTGAGAAAGAATAACCTAGAGAGAGAAGCCATGGCTCAGACATTTTGCCTGGGGAGGGAGTCCAGTGAAGGGGACTGAAGACAAATGATGAGGGTACTGGTCACATAAATATCCCTAAGAGTCTAAATTCCATAGTTCCTTCCCCATCTCCAGAATGTCTCTTCTTGAAAAAAAAAAAAAAAGGGGGGGGAGAGGGGTAAGGGGAGGGATGGTAAACTGACCCTGCTAAGCCAGAGTCTGCTAGATGCATGAAAGGAGAAAGCCAAAATTACCTATATTCTCATTTCTGGCCCTATCTTCAATCCCCTTCACTCTTGCCCTAGAAATCTTGATTCCTGCTTCCTTCCTCAACCAAGTATCTATGATACTTATGTCCTTTCCACCCCTGCATTTATATAACACCTATGGATGCCCCAGGAAGATGTCACCCTACAGATAAAAAACCAGCAAGCATGTCCAAGCACCCCCTTGGAGACCCAGGAAGAGAAAAAGAGAAAACACAGCAAGGCAGAGAAGCAGGATGTAAAGTGAGCCTGGAACTTCCGGCTATACAGAAATCCACCCTAAGGTTGATAAGCTAGGCATGGACATGAGGGTGTCCTACCAAGGCCTGGCAGAGCAGTGGCCAAGCCCTTTCTCTTTTCATGCTGATTTCAAGTGCTAGGGTGACAGAGTAGTGCCCAAGCCAGTAAAGAAGGACTACTGGATCCCAATTTACCTTTTCTTCTTACATGCTGTCCTAATATCCCTAACCTACGTGGGATGATAGTATGGCATATAAGAAAAAATAGAATGATTCACTTCTAATCATGTGGAAATGACCAGAGGCTCCTGTATCCAGCTGTCTCCTCAATCCAGCTATCTCTTCCCCTACAAGTTGGCCCTGTCTCTTTTCATATTGTTTGTTTCCCCTTGGACCCTGTTCCCATTAAGCGATTTCTTGGGCTTTTCTGTCATCCCTACCATCCTCTTAAGGAATGAGCCCTGAGATAGAAAGCTATTGAAGATATTCTCCCCTCCCACCCAACCAAGACTTCTTCCCTTGTGATTTCCAGAATCATATCTAGGAAGAAGTCTTATTCTTCCTCCCTTCTTCCCTTTCATTGTACCCTGACTTACCTCTTCTGGGGGCAGCCTTGCCAGCGGCTTGATGACAGCTGCCAGGGGCACCTGAGCCTGCTTAGCCATGTCAGATGTGCAGGGGATATTATAGGATGTGCATCGAATGTATCGGGGACTTGCATTTCCTGAAGGAAGCAGAACACCTGAGTCAGATCTTAGAATCCCCCCAATTAACCAGCTCTCCCTTGCTGATCCCCCCATCACCCCCACAAATGCTAGAGCTGAGGATGGCTTTCCCCGCTACAGACCGATGAGGGGCCGGTCTTTGATTAAAGACTGACAAAAGCCCCATCTGTAAGCTGATAATCTTGGAGGAAAAGGTCTCCACAGGGAGGAGTTGATGCCTTTCTCACCTTGGTCTTTCACTAGGAAGTTGGTGGTGACTAAGGGTGGCACCTGGCCTCGTACTCCAGTAACAAATGGCTCTGAGCCCCGGTTGTTCCTGTCATCCTCAATGACCTGAATCTGCAGGAAAAGGGAGATGAGTGAGGGGACACGAGAAAAGGGAACACCAGGCTCCAGAGAGCCAGGAGAAAGAAAGGCTGAAGCTGAGGCACAGAAACCACTGGCCAAGGAACGCCAGGCCTGCTCTCGTTCTGGAGACCATATAAGATGCTGTAATGCCATTCTGCTCTACAAAATGCTGGACAGGCAGTGCCAAGAATGGGTTTCTTTATTAATTGTCCAGACTCTCTATCAGTAATAATCACCCTTTTATTCCCCTAACTCCAGGACTGCTCCAGCTCTTATCAGAAACCTTCAAACATGATCAGATTTCACTTCCCTCCCCCACCCTCCAAAACACGTTTTGAGTAAGAACAGGAAAACAGACAATAGTAACCATGTAAAAATGAATCTATCTGGAGTGACTCTACATTCAATGAAAATAGAAGGGACAGGGTGAGGAGAGGATTAAACAGCCAGAAATGATCAGGTAAGGTGAGGAAGCAGATGCTGCCCGTGTTCAGGCGAGCACTGAGGTATAAATATGGGAGAAGAGGGTAAGTACCCATTCCTTAGAGCCCAATCCTCGGTCTCCCATATTTTGGCAAAGGAAAAAAACATTTTTTTTGGCAAAGCTGTAATCAGATCTTTGTGCAGGCTGATGATCTTCAAGATGTGTTTGGTAAAACCAGAAAAAGTAAAGGGAGAATAAGAATCAAAGCCCATAGCAGATGAGAGGTGGCTCACACTTTCCCAAAACAGTAAGCCCTTCCCCTTAAGAAATGCCAGAATCCCAAACTTATAGCCACAAATGTTAATCCACAACAAGCTGCAGACAATTCAAACCGGAAAGGGAAGGATTTACCGCTCATCTTTGTCCAGTTCCACCAAATGCCACATGCAGGCTCCCGGAGGAACCGGCAGAACACCAAAGCTTAACATGCCACCTGGCCCCGCCCTCAGAGCCGAGCTCTACCGCCCCGTCCTGCTAACAGCTTGCTACTTCTTCATTACATGTGGCTTGAGGCATGCACATCCTTCTAGTTCATAAAAGCGAGGTCTAGAAGGACTAAGGGAAAAGGATGGAGAGAGATGGACATGGTGGGTGAGGTGAAAAGGAGTCACAGGCATGCATGGGTGGCACTAACACATGGATGACACGTGCGCACACACACACACACACACACACACCCTGCACTTACTGGACTAGGAATGGCATCGGGGTCTATTCTGTGCCTGGTTTTCTGCTGAGGAGGCAGCTCATGGAGTTGCTTTTTAGTGTTTTAATAATAAAGGCAGCAGGGTAATACAGGGAGGGAGACAAAAGAACAAGAAGCAGATGTTACTTCTCTCAGCCCTGAGGAGTTAGCTATGAACAGCTGGAGCCCAGCTCAGACTGCTGAAATCAGGCTCTCTCTAGGTCAGAAATCCCAAGTCTTTCTGTTCTAACACAGAGGCTTTAATGGCTTAGACTATGATGTAAGAAAAATAAGGACAAAGACATACAAGAGGCAAGCAGGGGTTTAAAGAGAGGCTGAATGGGATAAATCATAAGGAAGGAGAGGGATATCCCCTCCAAGCCTTCCAGCTAAGAACTCTTCTCCCTCCACATGCACCAGATGCCCCTTCTCACTAAAGAGGGGAATGGAAGGAAGGGCTGCTTAGTCCTTCCAGGTCCCCCTAGCCGACAAGGTCCCTCACCCTGGTAGTTCCCCAAAGGAAGAGAACAGAATGGAATATGACAATGGCTAAGCATGATGAGGTAACTGACATAGCAAATGTTGCGGAAAGCACTATAAAGTGGTGCCCAGCCTCTATTCTGAGTAGGAAAGGGAGGCTTGTGGATTCTAAGGGTGAGATTCACCTTCTTTCTGGAGAAGCAGCTTTCCCAAACTGCCCTTGTAAGCATAGATCCCTTTCTCCATCCACACAGGAGCCTAGCAAACAAAAGTACTAGAGGCGTTCTCCTAAAGCTGTCCGGGTAGGAGCAGGGAGAAAACTGAGGCTCCCCTTCTTATAATTCCCACTGGCTCCTACAGATCTAAGGGGACAAGACCTGGACACAGCCACTACCCCACAGAAGGGGCAGAGGTGACCATGCGGTGTCCAATAACTGACAGAACACAACACTCCAGCCAGATCACTCTGGTCTTCCCTTCCTTTCCTGCCCAGGAGAGGACAAAAGACTTCCGGGGCTTCAAGTTGCAGTTCAAAGAGTCAAACATTACATCTAGTTTCTACACCTATAAGATGAATGAACAAGAAAATAATCAGAAAATACTGGCAAATATCTCATCACAAACTCCTTCCCCAGAACCACGTAAGTATCTACTTACAGGGCTCGGGATGGCATCGGGATCCAGGCGCTTAGGAGGCAGTGGCTGAGGAGGCCCAGGCTGACTGCCAAAAGCGGGTGCTCCTGGATAGGGACTTCCATAATTGGGCTGAGGGCCCCGGGTTGGTCCATAGGAACCTGAGAGACAAGGACACAGGGTGATGAACTAAAGCTCCTCAGGTAAATTACTAGATTCCTAAACATAGAGAATTATGAGGCAGAATAATGATTCAGAGAAAGACCACACTGTCTGACTATGAGAATAAAGAATGTCTTATAACCCCTACATCCTAGTAATAATACCCTGAAGCTATCCATCTAGTTTACCGCTTAGCAAGCAAAACTAAAGGCAAGCAAGCAAACAAAAAACACCTGAATAGCTGAACCCTCTGGCTCCTAGCCAGGCATGTGTGGGAAAACTCACCATTTTGTTGCAGCTGATAGCCTTGCTGCTGGGAGGAGTGCATAGGGGGTGGTGGTCCTGGGGGCCCAGCCATCTGGGTGCCAGGGTGCAGAGCTTGAGGAGGAGGTGAGGACACATGGTTGGGCTGATTCAGTGGGGGTCCCCCAAAACTCTGTCCAGGCAGGAGTGGACCAGTCATTGAAGGCATCCGAGGACCCCCCGAAGCTTGGGGTGTGAAGCTGGAGGCCTGCTGAGGGGCAGATCTCTGTGGAGGCTGAGCCCCAGAATGACCTTGGGCCTGGCTAAGGGGAGGAGCCTGGCCTTGAGGACAGGAGCTGTACAGACCAGAGTTAGGGAAATTTCCTGAGGCTGACGCCAGTGATGTTGGTGGGCCTGAGAAGTAGAAGAGGTAGAATCAGAACCCCCATCATCCTGCCATCTTGTTCAGTAAGTCATATAAGAGGGGCAGGACTGCCTGTCCCAGCTGCTATAGCTCAGAGACACAGCCTGATGCTTCTAAAAAAAAGGGAGAACAGTAACATTCCTGTTGTCACAGCTACTCACCATAGCCCAACCCTGAAGGGGGAGGGGCTGGGGTCACAGAACCACTGATCTGCATTCCAGCCATCTGAGCAGTCACCTGTGCACTTGTCGGGGGAGGGCCACAGGGCTGAAGCACAGCTGGCTGGCTGACCACAGGGGCCAGTGGGGCTGACCCAAATGGCTGAGACCCAGGGAGCCTGTGAAGAGAAAGCAGGCAGTTCAGGACCTAGTGGGCTGGGACACCCTTCATAATTGGCAGGAACATCATATCATGTAGGAAGCTATATTGTTTTACAGCATTTTAATCTCATCCTGGGCTCTTTTATGGCTTCATACTTTTGTATATTTGCAGATAAATTACATTCCTGATGATTTACACTTTATTATTCATGACAAATCTTGTTTTCCATGAGGTTCACTCCACAAACATATGCCAAGCACCCTAAGACCAAGTATTATTTACTCTGCTCCTTAGATTATCACCTCCTCTGCCTTAATCCTTTGTAACCAGAAGCCCTGAAGGAGCTGAAAAGGAAAGTGGACAGAAGTATTAACACAACAGATATTTAATAAATGTGAGATCAGCCCCGCCGGCATGGCTCAGTGGTTGAGCATCATCCTATACACAAGGAGGTCTCAATTCGATTCCTGGTCAGGGCACACGCCAAGGTTGTAGGCTTGATCTCCAGTGTGGCGTGTGCAGAAGGCAACCTATCGACGATTTCTCTCATCATTGATGTTTCTGTCTCTCTCTTACTCCCTTCCTCTCTGAAATCAATAAAAATATATTTTTTAAAAAAATAAAATAAATGTAGGATCAAACAAATGAAGTTTGACTGTTTAACTTTTAAAGCAAAGTATTTATTACTTTATCTTGGGAAGGATGTTAGAAAAATATACCAGATCAGAGAAGCAGCTGATTTGGTAATCTATACTAATCATACCGATGTGCAAACTCCACCAGAAAAGAATTAGAGGAACAGAACATAAACCAGGGGTTCTAGCTGGATCTATTTATTAGGAAAGCTTCATTACTTGGGTAGCTATGTTAGGCAGTCCCATGGTATCAGGTAGCACATTAAAATATAAATACAGGCCCTGGCCAGTGTTGCTCGGTTGGTTGGAGCGTTATCCTGTACACCAAAGGGTTGAGGGTTCAATTCCTGGTCAAAGCACATCCTCAGGTTGGGGGTTTGATTCCCCAGTCAGGATGCCTATGGGAGGCAACTGATCAATGTTTCTCTCTCTCTCCCTTCTTCTCTTTTTAAAAGCAATTTTAAAATGTTTTAATATAAATACAAAATTATTCCAATATCAGTACATACCAACTAGCAACTTGCACTGGTGTTTTACGGTGTTACTGCTACAGAAATCTACAACATAGATTATTATACACAACAAGCCCTTTCTGGGATTTCAAGAGTGAATCAAATTCTTTGCAACAGTTTACTGTATTGAAATTCTGATTTATCCTTCTTGTTTATTTTGTCTACTAAATAACTGGTACTTTATTATATTTGGTCAGCTTCTATTGATCATATAGTTTAACACTTTCATTCATTTATTCAAGTAGTATCATCTAAGTGTTATGCTAGTGAGCCTATATCCTTAAGCTCTTTTTTGGGGGCTTTGCAGTTTTATCTTCCATAGCATACTGTTAGCCCTATGGCAGATGCTCATAAATCCTTATCAGAATAATTATGTTCTACAGTCCTTCTCCATTATTATAGATAATACTATCAACTACTCAATGTTATTCTGTCACATGCCCTAGTAATAATAAACCACCATCTGTATATGTATCTGTATATAGCTTTACAATTTGTAAAGCCTTTTTAAGTGCTTTAATGTAATCCTCACAGTAAAACTTAAAACTCTCCATTAGCTTCTCATAGCAACTAAAATCAAATTTAAACATCTTCATATGGCTTACAAAACAGAGTATAATACGGTTCCTGCCTATGTTTCTACTTTATCCCCTCCACTCTCCACTATGTTAGCCTCTTTGGGCCTCTTGCTCTTCCCACATTCTCCCAGACTTTGGAGAGCTCCCCCCATCATTTCACTAAGGTTTCAAATATCTTTCAGAGAGGCTTTTCCTTGACCAATGTCTTTAAAACAGCTTCCTGCCTCCTCACCAGTCATTTTCTATATCCTTATTCTGTTTTATTTCTTATTTATATTAGTCTACCTGTTATCTTCTGTGTATTCCACTAGATTGTAAGCTCCATGAAGGCAGAGACTTGTTCTGTTTACTGCTTAATCTCCAACTTCTAGAATTATGTCTGATACATAATAATATTAAATATTTTTTGAGTGGATGAATGAATGAATGAATGAATGAATTCCCTATACTGCTTCCGGAATATTCCAACACACAGGGTAGGGGAGAGCTTCGCAGGATCTTTCTCCAGGCTTGCATTCAATGTAAAAGATGTACATTCTGGACACCCAATAAAAATGTCAGAAGGGCCGAAACCGTTTGGCTCAGTGGATAGAGCGTCGGCCTGCGGACTGAGGGGTCCCGGGTTCGATTCCGGTCAAGGGCATGTACCTTGGTTGCGGGCACATCCCCAGTAGGGGGTGTGCAAGAGGCAGCTGATCTATGATTCTCTCTCATCCATGTTTCTGACTCTCTATCCCTCTCTATAAAAAATCAATAAAATATATAAAAAAAAAAAAAATGTCAGAAGGTAACTCTTCCATTACTACACACTCTACCCACAGTTAAACAGATCCCGCTCCACCAAAGTCTTCATCACTCATGTGATTTCCTTTTGTTTTAATGATTATAATAACAATATATTGGCCTTAATGAATAATGAAAGCTTTCAAAGAATGACATATATGGTTTTGCTTTGAGTATCATTTCTTTTATAACTGTTCACACCTGAACTTAGCCAATAAGTCCTACTAAGTACCTGATCTAGAGGAAAGAGGGAAGTCAGAGGAGACAAATAATCCTGAGGTCCCTTCTTCCTGTTCTTATATGGAGATATATGCCTAGTCAGGAAAAAAACTCAGGTTCAAAGAAAGAGAAAGAATGTGTAAAAGAACACAGGTACTAAGATAGGTCAACAATCCACAGAGTGGACAGCAGTACAACCTGTAACCTGGAAAAAGAAAAACAAAATACAAAAAGGTGAAAGAGAAGAAGCTATCTAAAAGAAAGACAAAGAGAGGGATTAAACAAAAAATAAAAATAAAACAAAAACAAACCTCAAACCTCAGAAACTCAGAAACAGTATGGTGATTACCAGAGGGAAGGGGGAGTGGTGGTAGGCAGAAGAGGGCATAAGGGGGATAAATGGTGATGGAAGGAGACTTCATCTGGGGTAAAACACAATACAATATACAGATGATGCATTACAGAACTGTACATCTGAAATCTATATAATTTTATTAACCAACGTGACCCCCAAAAAATCAATTTAAAAATAAAAAAGGTGAAAAAGTAAATAAAACAGAGGGGGGAAAAAAAAGGTGAAAAAGTAAATAAATCAACATACAAATAAGTAAATAAAAGACAACGAAAAGGAAATGGGCCCTCAGACATTCCTAATCCTTCCAGTTTCACCATCACACCAATTTAGGTTGACCTGAGTACATACCTTTGCATCTGAACAGTGGAGCTAGGCCCATTCTGTACATCTCCTTGGCCAAACTGGCCGTATCCTCCCTGGCCACAAGGGGCCTGTGCTGTCGAGGCTGGAGGCACCCCTGAAGAAGGTGGGGCTCTTGACACACCTGAGGGTAAAGGACAGGAACTAAGTGATTGGGAAATAATTCTTCCTCTCTCCCGAGCAAGGAATGCAAAGCAAGATCAATAAGCACAGACCTTCACTGGCCCAATACCACGGCTTTGTAATTAAAAGGACACCATCACAATGCAAATCGAACTACAGCAGATTCTGAACACTGATGCCCAATCAGAGAGCCTCCACCCTCCTAGACCCATACACAACAAGTGAAGCTGTAGCCAGAGCTACAGGAAGGCAGGGCCTTCCTATGACCACCATATACTTACTGTCATGCAATCAATCCAGGACAGACAAATGTTCTCACCCTAGAATAAAGGCTAATTATTTTAAGGAAAAAGATCACACTTCAGAGACTAGAAACTTTGAACATAGATGAGAAACGTGGCACAGAACATGAGCAAGTAGTACACTGAACTAAGTTGTAAGGAAAGGCACCTCTTGGGGAAGATATTCTGCCAACCTCCTTTCCATAAATTCTACTTATCCCAGCCATATTCTCTTCATCCTCTTCTAAGTGTTCACTCTCCCAATAGCACATGGCTCAGAAAAGTGTCCCCACAGGTTGGAGTCTTTGTTTCCACCCAATAGTTTAGTCAGGACAGTTGGCTTATCCTCCCATTAGTGGTGCCACCTATGTCTTCACAAAAGCTGGACTCCATCCTTTCTGCTCATCAGAACTGCCATCAAAGCTACTTCTACTGTCCCCAACCATCCTTCCTGCATACTGTCCCCAACCATCCTTCCTGCCTGAAAGGCAGGGAGAAAACAACTAGTTATTTGGTGCATCATTTTGAAATGCTGCTGACCCCTGTTCAAACATTTGTTTTTCTTTTGATCTACCTTCAGCAGAGATTAGACATTACAGAACATGATTAATCTGAACCTGCTCACTAGCCATCACAGAACCAGATACGTTTTCCTCTCAATAATAAAGCTTCCTCTTGAGGCAATGCCAAACTTCATCCTGATAAGCCAGGACTTGACAGACTGAGGTGGACTCTGTCCAGCCAAAGTTCCAACCCAGAGTGAGCCTCTTCCAGAAACCTGAGACCTAATCTCATTATTTCATAAATTTTTTTTCAAAGTTATAATTTAAATGATAATATTTCTTTTCCCAAATCTCACCTATGCCTCCTTCATAGGATTTACTTGCTTAAAAAGCATAAAGCATTTGACATACCCAAAGTGCTCAACAAGTCTAACCAAAGATATACTGCTCACCATCTTCTAAAAGTCCTTACGGATAATCTGTAGAGTATTTAGCTATTCTTTAAAAAAAAGAAATAAAATCCAAGCACTGATTTTAAGGTAGCATCAGAGAAAGTCTTCTCTTATTGCCCTTATATTACCAAGCCTCTAAAAATCAGAGGAAACTCAAGCAAAAAAAAAAAAAAGAAATATCAGTAGAAAGATATGAGAGACACCAAAACTCAGGCACACAAACACTACACTTTTCATTCATAAACCAGCTCCCCATGTCCCAAAATCATTTATTGGTAGGACAGTCCGCCCAATAAGAGGCATTATCAATTACATGAAGAATGCCAAGTGGGGTGGCTCAGTTGGTTGAGCATCAGCTTGTGTACCAAAACGTTGCCAATTCAGTTCCCAGTCAGGGCACATAACCTGGGTTGTGGGCTTGATCCCCAGTTGAGGCAAGTACAGAAGGCAACCAATAAATGTTCCTCCCTTCTGCCCTCCCTCCCTCTCTCCCTTCCTTTTTTTCTCTCCTCTCTCCCTAAGCATGTCCTTGGGTGAGAATTAAAAAAAAAAAAAAAAAAAAAAAATATATATATATATATATATATATATATATATATATATATATATAATCAAAGTATAAAGTATTGAGCATAGCATGGTATATGGAACAAGTAATTCCAGGGAGACTTTAGGTCAATAGGAAATAGTCAACCGTGGTCATAGGCTCTGAAGGAGCTGTAACCACAACTCTTCCCTCCATCTGTAAACAATGCAGCCAGGTGAGGCTGCACAGGGTGACACCCACAGGAAATGAACTGCCATTGAACATAGAAAATGTGCTCTCTTAGATGTCTTAAGGCAGACAGAGTTATGTTCTGTAAAAACAGGGAAGAGCAGACTACCAGGGAGGGGCTCTTAGCAGCCAAGAGCCAGATTCATGTTCCTCAATCCCAGTCACCCCAACTGTCTAGACAGTTTTGGTAGGGCAATACAACCCAACCTTGGTAACATACCCGGAGGAGGTGTTTGCGGGTAGCCCGGGACTGGCCCATTGTAGGCGCCATACGTGTTGGGAGGGGCTGTGGACCCTGGTTGCCCACCAAAGCTGGATTGATGATACCCTGGGTAGACAGGCTGGGGCTGCCCATATGGCGGCACAGGTGGAGCTGACTGGTTGACATTCATTATGAGAGCATCCCCAACTTGGTCTCACCTGTTAGATAAGAGAGAAGAGAGAAATTAGTCATAATCAACCCTCTAAAAAGAGAGCAACTATACGGGTGGGAAGCAGACACAAAAAAGGACCGACCTTATCAGGCAGTGATCAGCCTAATCATTCCCACACTCCACAGGATCTTTGTAATTTTCTGCCCCAACCAGTAGCCAGATTACTCCCCAAAGTAAGGGTTTTGTTACTCTGAATCCCATGCTTTGTCACTGCCAAGAGGGTGTAAGTTTCAACTATAGACAGGCCCCCTGGAATGGAGCAGCAGCCTCCGCTCCCCAGTGGTATGATTTCTAGTGTCTAGACACAAGGAGTCCTGCCACTGATGAACTACTGTGATATTACCGGTAAATGAGACAGTGTTCCCACTTTCCATTCATTCACTCTAGCATCCATTCATTCAACAAGCACTGAATACAGTCCAGTGTGCTAGTCATTTTTAATCACCCAGGCTACAAGTCTAGCAGATCAGGAAAATTCCCTCCCCATCAAAAGGCAAATTTCAAAGTGACTGATTAGAGAAATGACATTCTTTGACTAAACTACAATAATCTACATGCTACTCCATCTCCAATCTTCCCCCTCAAAAAAGTGTATGTACCTTAGAACTGAAGCATTAGAATAAATGTAAAGAACACCTGAAAACTCCATCAGAGTGCAGGCCAGGCACAAAAAACTTCTCACAACTAAGGGAACAGTTTAAGAATCAGCAGCAAAGTAAAATTTTATGGGGGGACGGGGGGAAGATCATTCACCTTATCCACCAGGCAGAGGAACTATGAGTATCCAAATCCCAATGCACTCCAGCTCCCCTGTTTCTGCTGTTTTCATATGCCTGTCATGATTCCAGGCCACCACCAAAATTATTACAATCATGCCCAGCAACGGAGGAATGAATTAGAGGCCCTTTAACTGGGTTCTTCCAAGAACAGGACAATCCGATCACATCTATAATACTCCGAACAGCCTTACCATTCCAACTATCCCATAGACAGAAGGGGCCCCAGAAGCAGGAGAGCACACAGCGGCTGCGGTGGGACAAGGGGCCTCTTCCCTTTCCTAGGAAGGGTCGTCTTGACCACAGAAAAGCGGTGATACTCCTGGCTTTACACTCAGAGCCATCTCTGGCGCTGTTCTTCCAAATCCTAAACCTTACACAGGTCACGACACTAAGCTTGACAAGTGTTTCCCTCCCTCATCTTCCTAAAGTCGGTGTGGGGCTGGGGTGGGAGGACAGGAGCTTTTTCTCCAGGAAATAAATCCCTCCAACACGCCCAAGAGTTTGGAGCAGGCTCAAGTTTCCACGCCATTCTGGGTGGACAGTCAAAGGGTGACAATCCAGGGGGCGGGACAAGCTTCCTAGAACTCGGGAAGCAGTCGGCTGCGGAGGCTGAGGGCGCCGGGACCCAGCCCCGAGGAGGCAGGGCAGCTTGTCCGGCCACGGTGAGAGATCGAGCGTCCTGCGCCCTTCGATAGGCTCGGGGCAGGAAACGGGAGCCGGAATGTGGGCCGGGAGGAGAGAAGGGAGGGTCGGGTCTAAGACTGATCCTGGATTGCGGGTGCGCGAGGTGAGGGTCTCTCGCCCGGCCCCGCTGCTGGGCTCCTCCCTTCCTCTTCAGGCTGAACCCCGATCTAGCCAGGGGCACCCCGGCCTCTCCGCTTCTTTCCTACCCACCAACCTCCCGATGCCACTCCTCACCCGGCTCCAGATCCAGGTTCGACTTCGTTCCTAACGTCAAGGCTCCCAGGCTCCACTTCCGGTTCCGAGGGGGCTGTCTTGTCGGCCCCGGAAGTTCCGCCCACACGCTCCGGGGCCCTTCCCCTCCTTCTGCCACGTCTGCATTGGGCACGCGCCCAGGAACCCGGATGCCGCGCATGCGTCACTTTCATTTCCCATCGGAGCCGCCTCTTGGGTGGCTCCGCAGATTCTTATACATTTGCGCTTTTTTTTTTTTCTTTTTTTCTTTTAATCCACCCAGATGTCCCGGTCGCTTTACGGTCTCACCAGATGAACAGCGATCGGGAAGATTAGGTCAAACTATCTTTGGTAACAACCTCAATCGCCTACTATGACATGTTAGTGATCTCCGACCTAGAGTCCCGTAGCCACTTCCTGCTGACCTTTGACCCCGTTGATTTCCGTGTTCCATGTTGTTCTCACCCACGACCTTTGCTGGACTTAATGAGTTCGAGTTCTGGGTCTGCAATTCGCTATCTTGGGCAACTTAATCTCTGCCTCAGTTTCATTCATCTGTAAAGTGGAGAGAATATTAAATGCCCTTGTAAGAGCTTGTACCCTTCTTATAGTCACGTAAATTGCCTGGCACCATAGTAAGCACCAGTGGAAATTAACCACTTTTATTCAGCTCCTTGGTTTAGATGCAGAGCTATGGGAAAGGGAGACGATCTCTGTTCTCAGAATGACCCCAGCAGGTGGAAGAGCTACAATTTCTAGAGTAATTATTATCTCTAAAGAGTAACACTAATTGTAGCTAATATTTGTACAATTTTAAAAAATATGCCATAACCATCCGGGACCGGTTTGGCTCAATGGATAGAGCCTCGGCTTGGGGACTGAAGGGTCCCAGGTACGATTCCGGTCAAGGGCATGTACCTTGGTTGCGGGCATATCCCCGGTAGGGGTGTGCAAGAGGCAGCTGATCGATGACTCTCTCTCATCGATGTTTCTAACTCTCTATCTCTCTCCCTTTCTCTCTGTATAAAAATCAATAAAATATATTTTTAAAAAATATTCCATAACCAGTTTGGCTCAGTGTATAGAGTGTCTGCCTTTGGACTCAAGGGTCCCAGGTTCAATTCCGGTCAAGGATATGTACTTTGGTTGCGGCACATCCCCAATAGGGGGTGTGCAGAAGGCAGCTAATCGATGTTTCTCTCTCATCTATGTTTCTAACTCTCTATCCTCTCCCTTCCTCTCTGTAAAAAATCAATAATATATATATATATATATATATATATATACACACACACACATGACCTCATTTAAATCTTTTCAATAATATTTATTCATTTAAATTGTCTTTGAGCACTGCTGTGTGCCAAGCCATGTTCTTGGTTCTGGGAACACAAAAGTGCACAAAAGTTCTTTTCTCATATTGTTGATGTAAATATTAATTGTTCTGAGACACAGAGTGGTTCATACATTGAAAACATTACACTGTAGTCTGTTCTGAAAACCTAATGGTCATTAGCATGCTTTATTTAGTAAATGGTCAGATTGTTCTTATCCTCAGGAGTTTACAGTCCAGCTCAGGGGTTCTCAAAGTGTGATCCTGGAATCAACAATATAAGTGTGACCAGAGAACCTGTTAAAAATACAAATCTCACAAATACAAATCACAGACCCACTGCAAATACATTGAGTCAGAAATTCTGGAGGTGGGCTCAGCAAGCTATGGTTTCACAGGCCCTCCTGACAATTCCTTTCACACACTGAAAATTGAGACCCATTAGTCTAGGACTAGTCTCAGTTAAATAATATTTTTATATGTTCATATATATATTACATTGATAAACTATTTTCTTACACAATCATCTAATTCTACTATTTATGCTATCTTATTTTAAGGAACTAATAGCTTTAAGAGCTTTCCAGGTGATTCCAATGCACACTGAGGGTTGAATGAAAACCATATTATATAGCACAATGACTTACATGTAGCTAACACTTAATACATGTTTAAATAATGAATGGATGGATATTTAGATACTCTTTCTACTGATGAGGTCAAGAAACTTTTTGAGGTCACTCATCTAGTAAATGATGGAACAAGAATCCAAATCCAGATCTGATTCTGTATCCCAGGTGTTTTCTATGACTACATACACTAAGGCAGTGTTTTCCAAACTTCTCTCATGATGATAATTACCTGTCTTAGAGCACTAGTTAAATATACAATTCCCAAACATTCTAGTTTAGCACTTCTTAGTTGGGATTCAGGAATCTGTATTTTAGCAACTCCACCAGGTGAATCTCATCATGAGAGAAGTTTGTGAAACACTGCACTAAGGCAAACAGCATTTGGCTCACTAGCAGAACTGCTCAGCACCATAATGTTATGTTTTATAACAGGAATCTCTTTTTAAAAAAAAATACTTTTATTGATTTTTTTACAGAGAGGAAGGGAGAGGATAGAGAGTTAGAAACAATGATGAGAGAGAACCCTCGATCAGCTGCCTCCTGCACACCTCCCACTGGGGATGTGCCTATAACCCAGGTACATGCACTTGACTGGAATTGAACCTGGGACCCTTCAGTCCGAAGGCCTATACTCCATCTACTGAGCCAAACCAGCTAGGGCTATAATAGAAATCTCTTAACATAGGACACCTTCATGTAATGGAAACCTAAAAATAAGTAGGGATTTTATTATTAACATTAGAGGCTGGGTGCAGGAATTCATGTGTGGGTGGGGTCCCTCAACCTGGCTGACAATCAGGGTCAATTGGGGTGGCCCAAGGTTGACCAGCTGGTGGGAGGGGCCATGGGAGGTTGGCTGTGGGAGTGCACTGACCACCAGAGGGCAGTTCCTGCATTGAGCATCTGCCCCCTTCAGTGTGTTTCATAGTGACCCATCAACCAGTTGTTCAGTCACTTAGGCTGTGTAGGCTTTTATATATATATATATATATATATATATATATATATATATAGAGAGAGAGAGAGAGAGAGAGAGAGAGAGAGAGAGGGAGGCATATTTATGCACACCTATTTGTATTCACCTGTCCATAACCACCTTATAAGAGGTAATTTAATTTAGAAACATTTATTTATATATTTATTTTAAATATTTTTGTATTGATTTTAGAGAGGAAGGAAGAAGGAGAGAGAGATAGAAACATCATGATGAGAGAGAATCAAGGATCAGTTGCCTCTTGCAAGTCCCCCACTGAGGATTGAGCCCACAACCCAGGCATGTGCCCTTGACCAGAATTGAACCTGGGACCTTTCAGTTCACAGGCTGATGCTCTATCCACTGAACCAAACCAGCCAGGGCTAGAACCATTTATTTTAAATATATTTTTATTGATTTCAGAGAGGAAGAGAGAGAGAAATATCAATGATGAGAGATAATCATTGATCGGCAGCCTCCTACATGCCCCACATGGGATCAAGCCCATAATCTAGGCATGTGCCCTGACTGGGAATTGAACCCTGACTTCCTGGTTCTTAGGTCAATGCTCAACCACTGAGCCACACTGGCTGGGCTAACAAAGATTTATTGAGCACTATTTATATCTGTCATTGTTCTGTGGGCTGTTAATTGGCAGTTTCACACAAGTTTCTTATAGTTTAAGAGGGAGAGAGACAGACAAATTATAATGGTAGCTGAAAAACACAATAGAAATATATTGATACATCTGTTGCCCTGAGGAAGAAAGGCCTATTGTATAGGGAGGGAATCAGGAGATGGGCATGAAAGGCTTTATGAAGCAGGCAACAGTTCAGGTGGAGCAAGACTGATCCGAATTTCTCTAAATTGCACCCAGCACGGCAGTGGGATAGCTATACAGTGAGTGGCCAGATTATTATGATCTCTAAATGCATAATAATCTGGCCACTCAGTGTGTGTGTGTGTGTGTCTGTGTGTATGTGTGTGTGTGTGTGTGTATGTGTAGTGTGTGTGTGTGTGTGTGTGTGTGTGTGTGTGTGTATCTATTTATATTAGAGGTCCAGTGCATAAATTTGTGCATGGGTGGGGTCCGACCAGCCTGGCCAGGGGGAGGGGACATGGACAGTTGGCAGGTCTGCCTGCTAGTTGAACTCTGATTGAGGGGACAATTTGCATAATAGCCTTCTATTATATAGGATATACACTGAGTGGCCAGATTATTATGCGTTCAGAGATCATGATAATCTGACCACTCAGTGTAGATCTCCATTTTGAGTAATACGTAGATTCATACAGGAAGGGTCACTCTTCTCTAGGAAGCTTGAGAACTTGTGGGACAAACCCAGCCATTCCTTGCTCTGGAATCGAAGCCTCTGCTGCTGCCACTTTGAAATGAGCTTTGGAGGAAAGCACTTGGAATTAGTCCAGGATCCTATCAGGGAAACCACAGTTCCTGAAAGGGTGTATGTGAGTTATAGAACCCGGAGAACTAGCTGCCTGAGTGTTGAGTAAAAGGCCCCTGCAGGAGAATGGGGGACAGGGGAGAGCAGAAATTTTTACTATAATTAGTTTTGGGAGTAACAGAGCTGGGGGAGGGAGAGGAGTACAGCCGGCGACTATTTTGAGCACAGCTCCGATTGACAGGACACGTGTGCTGGACTGTACTGATCCCAGGGCCAAGTTGCCCGCCTGTGATGTGTGGTGTGGGGGGGAAGGCCTGGGGCAGCAGGCGCAGGACAGCCAGACAGACAGGCCGGACGGGGTACCAGCACCCCGACTCCTCTCCCTGGGACCCTGTCCACCCTCCGAGGGCCATAGGCCAACCTGAGCGATGGGTGCTGAGAAGGAGGTGCTGGTCACACTGTCAGGGGGAGCCCCCTGGGGCTTCCGACTTCAGGGGGGGGCCGAGCAGAGGAAGCCCTTACAGGTGTCCAAGGTAAGGGAGAGCCCCTACATTGAGGTTTCAGGGGAAAGGGGAACCTGGGGAGAGTCCTGTGGTGGAGAAGGGGGAGGCTGTGAAGAAGAGTGGGGTGGGTAGATGGGCAAAGAAGCATGCTAATGTTTGCCGGGGGAAGTGGTGTCTTGTGGGGACAGGGGCTATTAGAAAAGGGAATTCCTGGTTTCTGGTAGCAAAGAAGAGAAGACTCTGTCTCAGTTCCCTGCAGCACCAGAGCCGCAGAGGCTCAGAGCTGGCCACCCGGTCTCCTGGGTCTGTGCCTCTACCGCAAACTCCAGGAATGTAGGGAAGGTTCTAATTTCTCTCTAACTAAACTGATATGTGATGAGCTGAGGCTGTCATGCCAGCCCAGCCTAGCTCTGCCCTGCCCTGCCCTGCCCATGCTCCTCTTTTCCTACACCAGATCCTTTCTCTCTAGGCAAGATTCTTTTTTTGGTGCGAGATTGTCAGTTGAAGCTGTTACCCTATTGGTTTCGCCATACAGGCTTAATTTTTTCAACTGTAGAATGTGGGTAATGAGAGTTCCTACTTCAGCACACTCTAAGGATTAAATGCAATAATACATGTAGAGTGCTTAGCACCATGCCTAACATTTAGTAAGCACTCAGTAAACGTTAGCCACCACGGCACACATACACACACACAATCACAGTCTCCCAGAGTCTGCAGGACTCCCTCCAATCTGGAATAATGTTCTAAAATATTACTAGTAGACTATGTAGATAATAGTGCCTGGGATTCCGAGGCCTAGGAGTGAACTATTAGCTAGTATAGATATTGCCCTTAGAGGAAGGTCTTGGAAAGCCATTTATAGCACCTGCCCTGCCCCCAATCCTCTCATTCAATGATTATTCTACTTCCCCTCAGATACAGTATTGCTTCCTCGACTCTGCACCTTCTTCCCCTAGGAAGGCTCCCTTCACTGCCGTCCCATGCCCCTCTCCACTCTTTCTTACATGGCACAGGAAAATCTCTCCCACACATGGGTCCTTCCCATCCTAGCTCCTTCCATTCTATCCCCCCTCGGAGCCCTCCTTCACCTACAGTCTCTCCTCCAACACCTTCTCAGATCCGGAGACGGAGCCAGGCTGGCAGAGCAGGACTCCGAGAGAGGGACCAGCTTTTGGCCATCAATGGGGTCTCCTGCACCAGCCTCTCCCATGCCAGTGCCATGAGCCTCATCGATGCCTCAGGGACTCAACTTGTCCTCACTGTGCAGAGGTATGGACTCCTCACAACCCAACCCATCCCGTCCCCCTATCCCGTCCCCCTCCTCCCTGACTCACTCTGTATCTCCCTGGCCTGGCTTCAGCAACTAACAAGGACCTATTTCTGCTCGTGTCTCAGTGCTGGAATATAGGTGACAGTGTAGGCCTCCCAAAGGGCTTGGATATATGTGTGATTTAGGGATGGAGTGCCAAGTGGCTGAGCGTGTGGGCCTCCTTCAACCCCTTCCTTGCCTGTCTCATTATCACATCTCCCTCAAAGCCCGTTTCTGCTCACAGCCCTCCAGGCTCATTTGCCTCCCAGTTTGGTTTCAGATCTCCACTCTTCCCAACCCATCCCACCTATAGCTTTCTTCTCCCCTTACCTCCTTTCCCCACCCCCTCCAGATCCCTAGCTGGCAGTCACCCAACCAGTTTCCTAAGTTCTCTCCTCTTTCGCAGGGCAGAGGATGACGGGCCTGTGCGCTCTCCATCCCCTGTTGAGCTTCAGGTGCTGTCACCTTTGTCTCCGATGAGTCCTGAGCCCCCAGGTGCTCCAGTTCCCCAGCCTCTTCAGCCTGGGAGCCTCCTCTCACCCCCGGATAGTGAGGCCTACTATGGAGAAACAGACAGTGATGCCGATGGCCCTGCCACCCAGGAGAAGCCCCGCCGCCCCCGCCGCCGAGGCCCCACGAGGCCCACCCCTCCGGGAGCCCCACCTGACGAGGTCTACCTGTCTGACAGCCCTGCGGAGCCGGCACCCGCTACCTCTGGCCCTTCCAACCAGGGTGACAGCCGTGTGAGCTCCCCATCTTCGGAGAGTGGGGCAACCCTTAAGCCTTCCCCAGGCGAGGCCCTGCTGTTGCCCCATGGTACCCTCCGGCCCGGCCCTCATCTCATCCCTATGGTGGGGCCTGTTTCCCACCCCGTGGCGGAAGATCTTACTACCACCTACGCCCAGAAGGCCAAGCAAGCCAGTGAGTGCCTGAACCATTTCCCCCTAGCCTTTTAATGTGAGCCCTAAATCTACCCCTTCATAACCATACCTTATTCTCCCCTGGAATATAGTCTTGGGAACAAGTGGAGAAGAGTGATGAGTAAGAGTGGGGGAAACAATTATTCTCATGGTCCCATTATTTCTGCTGTTCGAACCAGTTCAGCAAAAAGGTACAGGTGGTTCAACCCAACTCCATAAGAGGGGAAGTAGGGAAGTTGGAAAGAGACATGAATCAATGAAGGCTTTGCTGGTTGTCCTTGCTATCGTTTTGCTAGGTGCTAGATAGAGGGCAGGGAAGTGTTTTGAAGCAGGACATGGCTACAGGGCCTCTTCAGTGTAAACTACAGGCAGGCATAGAATCAGAGCAACCTTTGGCCTTTGTAAATTCAGTTAGCATTCCTGGGAACTGGGAGGCTACGGGATAGTTATGAGTCCCTAGGAAGTGGTAGAGGGAGGAATCTTCAGCACTTTATCTCAGGCAAGAATGTAGGCCTGGGCAGGAAAAAAAAAAAATCAAAACATAGTTCCACTTATCTCAAGCTCTCTGCTATTTTTGACGTGAGCTATAAAACAAGGTCTAAGAGCAAACTTTTCCCCCATCTTATGCCTACCACGCCTCTCCCCAGACCTTGAAAACCTCAGGGTTATTCCTCTAGTTCTCATCTCCCATTCCTCCACTCCAGCATTCTGATTTCTGACCCTTAGAATTTTTGTGTCTCTAAGTCTGGATTAGAAGCTAAAGATGTAATCGTTTAGATCTGGCATCCCTAAAGAATGTCCCATGTACCACAAAGACATTCCAGATGCATGCCCAGGATCCCATGCTTATCCCCAATTCTCATTTTAGCACCCTCTCCCTTCCCCTCATGCTGGGTGAGAGTGGAGTTCGTGCCTCAAGGCTATTTTTAGCCAAGCAGACCTCATTGTCCAGTGGGGTGAAGTAGGGGGAAGGGGAGGCAGGTGCCCACGTCTATCACACTGGGGCTGGTGGAGCAGGCCAGAGGAGGGAGGGGGACAGGCTCCAAAAATAGCACGGTGAGCTCATGCAGCTGCCAGCTCTGGGGACAAGACAAAGGGGCTTTAAAAGGCATGGGGGGTGGCTCACGCTGGTCCAGCTCCAGCCAACACCGCCTTTCTCGGCATGGAGACCTTTGAGCCCATCGGCCAAGAACCCCTCAGCCAAGCCAGCGACAGCAAAGCTCCAGGCCCTCCTCCTGAGCCACAGGACCCCTTCTATGCAGGTACCACTGCCCCATAGCCAAGGCAGGTCTGGGACTAGAGGGCAGGGGAGGACACCAACACTCAGGAAGGGAGGTCTTCGGGAAAGGTCTTGCTCCCTTATCTGTTCCTCTTTCTCCTTTCCTTTTCCTTCTTTTCTAAGGAAAGTTTCATGGCCCCTCTCTCAGAATGGACTAATGCTCTGCTCACATGTCACAGGGACCTGTGACCACATGAGCTGTAGGAAACTCCAGGGGAGAGTGTGTGAATGGGGGAGAAGTGTGAATAACCTATCAACATATTGAGGTCTGTATGTGGGAGAAAATATGTGTGACGAAGAAAGTGTCTGTACACAGGGGTAGCTAGTGACAAGAAAGCTTTAATAGTAATGGTTACTCACAGTGGAACTTATGGATGCTGTTAAAGGCTAAATTTACCTACATTATCTCACTCAATCCTCAGAGCAACCCTATGAGGTAGCTATTGTCCTTCCCATTCACAGATGAGGAAACGGAACTTCCATGAAGGGAAGTAACTCTCCCCAGAACCAAAGACCTGAACTGAACGCTGACTCCGATATCTATCTCTTGTTCACAGTTCTGTTCGGTGGTAGAAATGTTGGGATGGGCACAAGGAGAGCTCTAATAATGAGTAGAAAGGAGATGGAATTTTTTAAAATTAATTTCTTTATTGATTAAGGTATCACATATTTATCCTCATCCCCCCATTCCCATCCCCTACCCCTCCCCACTTATGCCCCCATCCCCCTATTGTCCTTGAGCACTGGTTAGGCTAGGAGATGGAATTTCAATAATTTTTTCAGGAGGAACTGGGGATCATGGGTCAGAGAGCCCGAGGCAGGGTCCCGGCCACCGGGCAGCCTCTCCCACTTCCTGGCCCCACCTCCCAGGCCCCACATGGCATGGCAAGCCCGGCCCTGCCTCCCTGAGTATATAATCCTTTTGTGCCTGCCTGGTGGCGGCGGCCTGAGCTCTCTGCCTAGAAGGCCGACCCCTAAGGAAGAGTCCTCCACTCGCAACCTCAGCTGGGGGGAAAGATGAATAGAGTCAGTGACTTTGAGGTATCATGAAGGTTTGGAGGATTGCCTTGGAGAGCAGCACTCTGGCTTCTCCTGCATCTCGGATCTGACGCTCTTCCTGGCTGTGAGTAGCGGGATGTGAGGCAATTGGAAGGCCAATGTCTGCTCTAAAACTTTGTTCAAACGTTTAGGAAAAGGACCTTCGCAGGGGGAACTCTGGGAAAAAGGGCCATCTGGAGTGTGCATGTGTGTGAATGTATTCAAGTGACTCTATGTGTTTTTGTTTAAGTACATGGGTGAACTAGGGTGTATATAACCTGGGGTATATGTAAAGGAGAGAGAAAAGTCCAGGGGAAAATGTGCCCACAGCTGGCTTTTACCAGCCCCACATTCTTCTTGTTGAAATGATGTGTGGTGGGTTATTCCTATGAATGTATAGGATGTGGACTGCATGGTGGGGGTGGAATAAGATCCTTGTTGCTACGGGTCCTTGGTGTCCTTACCATAGGGGTAAGTGAGCAAGTCCCAAACTTTCTGAGATCTCTGCCATGTGATCTCTGTGGTTTCAGGGAGAAACGTGTCCCTTCTCCTCTTTTGTCTCCCTGGGACCTGCTTCGTCTTTCTGCCTGGGAAGTGACCTCCCCTACCCCCCACCCCAACCCACCCCTGCGTCTCAGCCAGAAATGGAGGGAAGCAGGGGAGGAATGTGAGTGGGGTGGGTAACAGCAGGTCTCTGCGAAGATAGGAGCAGAACAGGGGGAGGAGAGGAGAGCTGTGGTCAAGAGTGGTGTCTGGACAGCCAACTGGACTCTGCCTTCCTTCTGACTGTCCTTGGTTTCACCTTTCACCCTCCCGTCTGCCCCCAAGTCAGAGGACCTTGAAAAGGCAGGAGGTGGGAGGGCCAAGGGAGCTGGCCGCGGCGGGAGGAGGGGGTGGAAGCCTTGGGAGAAATGGGACTCCCCAGAGGCTCACCGACCTTTCCCCTCCCGGCCTCCCCAGAGCTGCAGCGGGCAGAGAGCCTCCAGGAGAAGAGCGTGAAGGAGGCCAAGACCAAATGCCGGACGATCGCGTCCCTGCTGACCGCGGCCCCCAACCCCCACTCCAAGGGGGTGCTCATGTTTAAGAAAAGGCGGCAGAGGGCCAAGAAGTACACCTTGGTGAGCTTCGGGTCTGCGGCGGGGACCGGCGCCCAGGAGGAGGAGGAGGAGGAGGACGGGGTCCCGCCCACGAGCGAATCCGAGCTGGACGAGGAGGCCTTCTCCGACGCCCGCAGCCTCACCAACCAGTCCGACTGGGACAGCCCCTACCTGGACATGGAGCTGGCCAGGCCGGGCCCGGACCCGGGGCTGGGGGGGCAGCTGAGCGAGGCGGCGGGGAGAGGGGTCCGGCTCTTCGAGCAGCAGCGCCAGCGCGCGGCCTCCAGCGCCCGGGAGCCGGCGGGGGACGGGCCCGCGACCGCGCTCAACGGGGGGACCCCCCAGGCCCCCCCAAGGGCCCCGCAGTCCCCCCCAAGGGCCCAGAGCGCTCCCCCCGAGGCGGCCGGGCTCCCCCAGTCCGGGCTCCCCGCGTCGCCAGGCCCCTTCGCGGGCCCTAGACCCTTCCCCGCAGGCGGCGGAGCCCCGGCCCCATCGCCCAGCATCTTCAACCGCTCAGCCCGGCCCTTCACCCCGGGCTTCCAGGCGCAGCGGCCGGGCACCTCCTCCGTTATCTTCCGGCCCGTGGCCCCCAAGAGGGCGAGTGAAAGCCTGGGCGGCCTCAGCCCCGCTCCCCCGCCTTTCCTGGCCTCCCCTCCGGGGCCCGCCCCGCTGCCCAGCTTCACCCCGGGGGTCCCCGGCTTCACCCCAGGGGTTCCCAGCTTCACCCCGGGGGTTCCCAGCCACCTGCCGGCCTCCAGCTCCCCCGGCGCCCCCCGCTCTGCGGGCCCCTTGACGGCCACCAGCTCCCTGTACATCCCGGCCCCCAATCGTCCCGTTACGCCAGGCGGCACCCCCGAGCCCCCCGCCCCCTCTGGCACCGCGGCCATGACCTCAACTGCTTCCATCTTTCTGTCGTCGCCTCTGCGACCCGGCCCCGCCGCCCCCGGCCCCGCCGCCCCCGGGCCCCCCGCCCCCGGCCCCGCCGCCCCCGGGCCCCCCGCCCCCGGCCCCGCCGCCCCCGAGCCCCCCAGCGCCCGGGAGCAGCGCATCTCGGTGCCGGCCGCTCGCACCGGCATCCTCCAGGAGGCCCGGCGCCGGGGCACTCGGAAGCAGATGTTCCGGCCGGGGAACGAGGAGACGAAGAACTCGCCCAACCCCGAGCTGCTGTCGCTGGTGCAGAACCTGGACGAGAAGCCCCGGGCCGGGGGCGCGGAGTCCGGCCCCGAGGAGGATGCGCTGAGCCTGGGCGCCGAAGCCTGCAACTTCATGCAGCCGCCAGGGGGCAGGAGCCACAAGACCCCGCCGCACGGGACGCCCAAGACCCCGCCCCCGGTGGCCCCCAAGACCCCGCCCCCCGTGGCTCCCAAGACTCCGCCCCCCGTGGCTCCTAAGCCCTCCTCTCGGGGGTTCCCCGAAGGGCTAGTGAATGGGGCAGCAGCCCCTCCCGCTGGGATCCCCGAGCCGCCAAGGCTCCAGGGCAGGGGTGGGGAGCTGTTTGCCAAGCGGCAGAGCCGAGCGGACCGGTACGTGGTGGAGGCCACACCTAGTCCTGGCCTCGGCCTTGGCTTTGGCCCTGGCCCTCGGCCCCGGAGCCCTTCTCCCACTCCCTCGCTGCCCCCTTCCTGGAAATACTCACCCAACATCCGCGCCCCGCCTCCCATTGCTTACAACCCGCTGCTCTCCCCTTACTTCCCGCAGGCCGCCCGAACTCTCCCCAGTAAGGCCCAGTCCCAGGGGCCGCGAGCAGCCCCCAAGCAGGGCATCAAGGCTCTGGATTTCATGCGGCACCAGCCCTACCAACTGAAAACTGCCATGTTCTGTTTTGACGAGGCTCCCCAGACTCCCGGTCCCACCTCCTCAGGGCCTCCCAAAACTGCCCGAGTCCAGGAGGTCCGCCGGTTTTCCACTCCAGCACCGCAACCCACCGCAGAACCCCTGGCTCCCACGGTGCTGGCCCCCAGAGCAGCCACTACATTGGACGAGCCCATCTGGAGGGCGGAGCTGGCCTCAGTCCCTGTCCTTAGCCCAGCCCCTCCTCCTCCAGAGTCTCCCAGGGGTCTTGGGACCTCACCCAGCTCCTGTGGCTTCCAGGTAGCCAGGCCCCGGTTTTCCGCCACCAAAACGGGATTGCAGGCTCAGGTGTGGAGGCCCGGTGCAGGCCACCACTGAGCAGGCACAGCTCCCAGGACCAAGGAGAGTTGCTTCTCCCGTTCCTAGAGTTGCTTCTCCTACCCAATCCTCTCCCTCTCCCCGGCATTTGGAGGTTAAATTCCCTCCTGCCAGAGAGAGTTTTGGAGTTGGTATCCCATCCCCATTTCCTCCTGGCTCCCAACCTCCCTTCCGCTTTCCAAGCTAATAGTTCTGCTTTGGTATTTGTGCTTCTCTTTCTCTTTGTAGTTTCTTGCTTGGATCTCTGTCTTTACTCTAGGTCACTCCACCCATGTTCCCTCACTGGTCTGTATTCCTCTACTTTCGTTCTTTTCTTTTCTTTTTCTCTTTTTAATATATTTTATTGATTTTGTACAGAGAGGAAGGGAGAGAGATAGAGAGCCAGAAACATCGATGAGAGAGAGTCATCGATCAGCTGCCTCTTGCACACCCCCTACTGGAAATATGCCCGCCACCAAGGTACATGCCCTTGACTGGAATCGAACCCGGGGCCCTTCAGTCCCCAAGCCGACGCTCTATCCACTGAGCCAAACCAGTCCCGGCTACTTTCGTTCTTTTCTCTGTTAACTTCATAACATTCGATGAGAAGCACACAGAGAAGCTACCTACCACTGAGCACTCAACAAGAATCTCACCATCAGGCAGGCAGCAGTGAAATGGAATTGATCCTCGTTTGCACTAAGTTACTCTCTACTGCTCACCTTTTCCAAACGTGGCTGGCATATACCTCGGCATGTATGTACGTGTGTACGCATGTGCAAGCGCACAGATGTGCTCTTCTGTCTGAGGCAAGAGTAAGAGGACAGGTCTAAATAAAGACCTGATGTGGGTCTCACCCTTGCACTGATGAAAGAAGGGTGAGATGACCCCACATAGGTGACCTAGGGGAGAAAGAGATTCACTACGTGAAAGGCTAGCATCTGTAATTGGTACACGGCATCTTGTGAAATGTATGGAGTATGGGGAGACTAGAAGGGCCAAGGCAGTGTGCATGGGCTGCATGACACCAGTTAGATCAGGAATCGAACTAAAAATTCTGTTCCTCAGGATTTGAGACAGTTAGCAATTTGACAGGCCCATGCTGAGCAGCAAGCATCCAGGAAGTGAACCAAAAGGAAATTTTCCTCTGAGAGTGAACAAATCATTGGCTTCACTTCCTCTAAGCGTAGGACAGACAGAAAAGCGCCATGGTGTGGAAAATGAGGCAGAACCAGGAGCAGAGCAGACATTAATGAAATCGACTGAGCCACAAAGAGGAGCACGGTGGGAGAGTGAGAATGCAGTGTTGGCAGCCAGTAAAGTTAGGTATCAAGAAACCAACTGTGTATAAGGGGAGGATTGGGGGGGGATTATGATGGAGAAGAATGCTTTTGTTAGAGTGAAGTGGATGATGGTGGGGGGATGTCAGAGTATATACTAAGTGCTGAAAAAACAGTTGGTATCTGTGCTACCTCCTTTGAGTCTGTCCCTCTTTCTTCTGCAGCTGGTCCTGACTACCTGGGAAAGGGCTAGGAAACACCCAGAGCCAACCCTCTTTTCAGTCCTACCCTACCCCTCAGACCCTAGCTCCTGTTCCTTTCCAGCTTCAGCTCCTGATCTCTGATCCTAGAGGAGTGTAGACTCCCCTGTCACCATAACTACTAAGGGTCACGTTTGCTGCTTGATCTGGAAATGGATCATTTCTTTTGTATACTGGGTGTGAGTCACAGTACTTTTGTTTGTGCACAAAAATAAACGTGTACCCCACGCCTTCTGTTGCTGTCTTCTCTTCTAGGTTTATACCCAAGTCCTAATTTCCCCTTCATTTTAATTCATTCAATGATCCTGACCTTCTGATTCCTGGTCTCTTTTTCCATTGCTGCCCTCCTGTGTTTCACCCTTTTGCCCTTTACTCCCGGACTCTCGATCTTCTCTACCAATTCTGTCTCATTTCTATTTAGTCACTTCTACCACTCCCCTTGGTTCCCTCTCCCCACATCTCCCATAAAGACTGTCCACCTTTCAATCTCTTGCTCCATACTTCCCAAGCTAGGCCTCTGTTTACAGAACTAAGAGAAGGTGCAAAGGCCCTTAACCATCAACATTTCCTAGCACCCTAGAGGAAGCAACCCTATTTCCATGGGAAAACAATGGCTGTAGGGCGAGAGAAGGGAGAGGGAAAAACCATAGAGAGGATGGGCAGATAGTGTGGATTGAGAACTATAGAGAAGAGAGTGCAAGTAGGGGTGGAGGAGTAGGGGTAGGAGTAAGGGAGGCCAGTGGAGAGAAAGAAAAGAGAGACATATGTACTACTATTTGTAATAACTTAAGCAATAAAAATGTAAAAAAAGAACAAATAAAACCTTCCTAGAAAAGAAGAAAAAGAAGAAGAAGAAGAAGAAGAAGAAGAAGAAGAAGAAGAAGAAGAAGAAGGAGGAGGAGGGAAGGCAGAAGAGGCAAACTAGAATTAGACTTTGGAGAAGGAAATGCCATTGCTCCAATTTTACCAGCAGGGGGCACATTTGCCCCAGTAACCAGGTCCAGGACCCAGATGCTCCTAAGTACAGTCTCAGAATTCCAAAGGAAGGAAGGGCCCAGAGAGCATAGGCTAAATATTCTATCTCCACCCACCTGGTAGTTTTTTGGCACTTAATAACAGGAGATGGTGAGCTTAAGCAGCCATCAGATTTTGGGTTGTTATTGAGGGGAGGATGGTAGTGATGATGAAATCACCATTTGCTATTTGTTTTTTTCTTCTAATTGCTTCTTTGGGTTGGGAGGAAATGGAGAAGGAAGACAAAAGATGAGGGCTCTAGAGGCTAAACTGATCTAGGAAGAGGCCAGCTACAGAGAGCTAGAGCCCTTTCGGCTCCCAGCCTGAACCGGAAAAGTTTAGGATGGGAAAAGGGCATGGTCAGGAAGAGAGGAGAGCTCACAGAGGAACAGAACAGGGAGGGTATTCTGGGAGCTACAAAACCCACTTCTTAAAGCAGCCACAATAGGGTGGTTCCAGAACCTAAGCAGAAGGTAGAGGAGGATCCAGATATTCGTGGAGCTACAGGGGAAAGGGCTGGGCACACGACAGGCTTCTCCAGCTAGTGCCCCTGCCCAGAGGTTTCTCTGGAATGATGCAAATGGGATATGTGTTCCTTTAAAGAAAAGCCCAAGTAGGAGCCTCAGAGAGCAAGGCCTTGGCAGGTCTAAAGCCTTCATACACTTCTCAGAGAAACATCAACATCTATCCTGCAGAGTAGGCTGCACTGAACACCCCAACAGCAAATAGGGGTGAAAAGGCAGAAACTGGTCAAGTCTTCCCCACATCTTCCCTTACAGCCTAGAAAACACTGGGTTTAGTTAATTTGGCCCCTTAATCTGCTAAAATCTGGCCCTCCCAGAGGAAAGATCAACCCATCCAGGAACTTTCAAAGAGCAGTCCCATTGGGAACAGACATCCCTTTCCCAAACACAGCGCCTTAAGCTTTCCCACCCCAAAATGCGCCCCCATGTCCTTCCAACTGCGATGCAGATTGGCTCTGAGTGGCTCTCCAGGTTCTTGTCCTCTCACTCCAAATTCCTATCTACCATTTGGTGCCTACCTCCTCTCGCCTGCTCAGTTTTCACTTTCTCCCTGAATGCTTCTCAGACTCTGGAAGTTAAGCAAAAGGGAGTCCCTGGGCAGACTGGCTCAGATAATTTAGTAGGAGAATCCCAAAGGCCTTTCTTTCATTCCTGAGCCTCTGGGCAAGGAGGGCAGGATCTTGGTTCCAGGGTCTCGGTACCCCTTGTGCCATTTGAGCTGCTTACGCTCACCATCTCTATTAATAACCACCCTCCCTCCCCCACTGCCAGTGCTTCCCCCACGCCTGCCCAGCTCGGGTTCTCCAGTCACAGCAGCTCAGTCCTCCAAAGCTGCTGGACCCCAGGGAGAGCTGACCACCACCCAAGCAACTGGTAAGTCTCCAGCTCTATAGCCAGAGGGGCTGGAGCCCGTTCTGTTAACTGTTGTGTCTGTGTATGCAATAGCGACCCCTGATCCTGGGGTAGTTCCCTCTCCCCCATCTATGCTCAGTTCCCAGCTGTCCAGTTCAGGGGAGCCACAGAGAGCTAGAAGGAGAGGGGCCCAGGAGGGTGTGTGTGTGTGTGTGTGTGTGTGTGTGTGTGTGTGTGTGTGTATAATAGAGATATTGGGGAGGCACTGGAGCACTGGAGAAATAAGAAGGGGGTCTAAGAGGAAAATAGAACCTTGAAGCTGAGAGATACAGGGAGAGTCCACTTAGCAGTTCCTGGATTCTGACCTCAGCAGACCTCACTAAGTTAGAATTGCAGTTGTGTTGTGAGACAGGACTCAATAGAAGACAACATGTTTGCCAGTTGCCAACTTCTACCAAGGAGGAGCTGAAGGCTTTATCTTTTCCAGCTTGTCCCCCTTCACTGCCAGATACTATTATTATGTTCCTGTGCTCCTTCAAATTCCCACTGCTATGATATTGCTGAGTTGACATGCATCAAGGTTCAAATGTCCCCTGACCTGCCCCCTACCCCTACCCCTCTCTAATTTTGGGGTCTGGGGCCGGGGTAACTGAAACGGAGCAGGGAGTACGGCCGTGACCTCCCAGGCTATGTTCCAGCTGGCCCAGTGGAGGAGCAACAACCTCTCCTTCCTATGGAGAATGTTGTTGGCTGTATCTCAACGCTGGCAGAACATTTTCCTGACCCCCTGGGGGTTGGGGAAGACTGAGGAGAGATCAGAGCTTGGTATGACAGCCCCAATCTGAGATCCCCATTCAAATAAAAACTTCAAATCATGGTAATGAAACCAGGGTGCACTGCCCTGCCTGTGTGTTCCTTGTTTGTTTGTTTTAGTCCCTGCCTCCCAACATATACTGTGAATCTAACACATGCACTAGCACTTTGTAAAACAGTTGCAAAGAGGTTGAGAGAAGGTAGGGGCAGGGCTACATCTATAGCTTTTGCCCTGCCTTCTATGAGAAGAGAGGCCCCAAAGAAGTGAGTTTTCACCACTCCACTAGAGGGAATATGTATTTCGTTGAAAATCTAATGAAATTTTGCTCCTTGAAGCCCTTCCTGTAGACACACCCTTCCTAATCCCTGTTCATCTTTCAACTTTCTCTTCCCACTTTATCCAGGCTGAATCCTACCTCCACAATGCCGCTCTCAGGAACCCCAGCCCCCAATAAAAAGAGGAAATCCAGTAAGCTGATCATGGAACTCACTGGAGGTATGGCATATTTGCACCAGCCTATGATGGAACTTCTTCTTCTTCTTCTTCTTTTTTTTTTTTTAATATATTTTATTGATTTTTCACAGAGAGGAAGGGAGAGGGATAGAGAGCTAGAAACATCGATGTGAGAGAAACATTGACCAGCTGCCTCCTGCACCCCCCACCCCCATTAGGGATGTGCCCATAACCAATGTACAACATGCCCTTGACCGGAATCGAACCTGGGACCTTTCAGTCCGCAGACCGACGCTCTACCACTGAGCCAAACCTGGTTTTGGCTAGGATGGGGCTTCTTATTAAGAGTATTGCTGGCCCCCAAATCCCAGAAATATCATAAGGTCACATATGTCATAGGGTGAAGAGACAAGAGAAATTCAGAAGTAGGGTGGGGTGAGGGATGGTGGTAGTGGGATAGGAGAAGTTATTCAGCACTAACTACTCATCCTTCGACACTTGTAGTCTGAGACAATAATACCCATGCCATACTACACAGCGTAGGCCAGGACAAGGGGACCCACACAGGTCAGTGAGGTAGGTATGTTTAAGGTAGAAAACATATGCAATGGAGAGGGGCACAGAGTTAGGCTTCAATACATAGTTCATCTCCTGACTTCTTTCCTCAAAGCTAGGGAGCCTGTGTACATATTTAAAATGGAAAACTCACAGGCTGTGTGCAGCCAGAGTTCACTGTGGGGACGAGTAGGAAAAGGAGTTAAGGCAGGAGTATATTAAGAGGTGTCCAACTCCACACTGTGTTGGTCTTTGGGCTTTGTCACAGGCTACAGCTTCGCCAATGGCTTCCATCTATGATGTATCAGTGTTTCCCAAAGTGTGGTATGCGTACCCCCAGGGGTACGGGAAGAGTTTGGTGGGGGTACACGTTGCACCGGAGTTTGGTGGGGATATGCACTGCATGGTGCTTAGCTGCGCCTAATTCTACGTTCTCATGAGTACGAGGGGTACTCAGCGTTACGAAATTTATAAAAGGGGTGCACATATGTCAAACGTTTGGGAAACAATGATACTTCATTTGCCTTGCAACTCCATGTCCATGTCCCCTTGGCCCCATTCATTCTCTCCACTCTAGTATTTCCACTATCTCCACTCTGCACCCCCGTTCCCATGCATTCTCTCCAACTTCAAAACTAGGAGGTCAAAATCCCTTACAAACTAGACAGAATTTAGTCAGACATCACAGACAGCATCTGCTTCCATTAGCGGTCTCTGCTGGGACACACACACACACACACACACACACACACACACACACACACACACACTTAGTTATGGGTGACATCTGCATGCTGAGCCCAGAAAACTCTCTTTTCCTCTTTCCCTTGCCTCTTCCTCCCCACCTCCCTAAAAGGTGGACAGGAGAGCTCGGGCCTGAACCTGGGCAAGAAGATCAGTGTCCCCAGGGATGTGATGTTGGAGGAGCTGTCGCTGCTCACTAACCGCGGCTCTAAGATGTTCAAGCTGCGGCAGATGCGGGTGGAGAAATTTATCTATGAAAACAACCCTGACGTCTTCTCTGACAGCTCAATGGTGAGTTCGGAACTTTACTGCTCTCAAAGCCTAGTGGCCCTTCTGAAAGCTCTGGGGAGGCCCCAAGTCTCCAAAATACCGCCAACCTCCCTTTCCCAGGAATTTAAAAGCCCATTCAAACCCCCCAGTTATAGTGAGTCCTCAACAGCTCCAGGCTGAGTAACGGCCCACCTCTGAAACTCAGGCTCCATCTTAGAGCCAGTGAAGGTGGGTGGGGAGTACCACACCCTCAGGGAGAAAATTCCTTTCCAGTCTGGGTAAGTGTTAAAGATAGGGCTGCCAGATAAAACACAGGAAGCCCAGCCCTGTGTTTTAAAGTGGAGATAAACACAGATAATTTTTTAGTAATGTCCAGTCAATATTTTTACATAAAAATAAAATTTAAATCCCAAGACACAAACTAAAATGTTCGGTACAAAATAAATACTTTTTAGTATAAATATGTCTCAGAAACTATTTGGGACATAAAAATTAAAAACTTTTAAAAATTCTCACCTGAGGATATTTTTCCATTGGTTTTTAGAGAGAGGGGAAGAGAGAGGGAAAGAGAGAGAGGAACATCGATGTGAGAGATACCCATTGATTGGTTGCCTCCTTCACGAGCCCTGACCAGGGCCTGGGCTGGGGAGGAGCCTGCAACTGAGGTATGTGCCCTCGGCCAGAATTGAACCTGGTACTCTTAGGTCCGTAGGCTGACTATCCACTGAGCCAAACTAGCGAGGGCTAAAAATTAAATTTAAATTTAAAATATAGGGCACTCAGCCGAAGCTGGTTTGGCTCAGTGGTAGAGCGTCGGTCTGCGGACTGAAAGGTCCCAGGTTCGATTCCGGTCAAGGGCATGTACCTTGGTTGCGGGCACATCCCCGGTAGGGGGTGTGCAAGAGGCAGCTCATCGATGTTTCTCTCTCATCGACGTTTCTAGCTCTCTATCTCTCTCCCTTTCTCTCTGTAAAAATCAATAAAATATATTTTAAAATAAATAAATAAATAAATAAAATATAGGGCACTCATTTAAATTTGAATTTCATATGTACAATGGATACTCTCATACATAAATATGTCCCATCCAATATTTGTGGCATATTTATACTAAAAAAGTACTCGTTGTGAGTCTGAGATTCAAATTTAACTAGTGTCCTATAATCTTTTTAAAAATATATATTTATATTGATTTCAGAGAGGAAGGGAGAGGGAGAGATAGAAACATCAATGATGAGAGAATCATTGATCTGCTGCCTCTTGTAGGCCCCCTACTGGGGACCCAGCCCACAATCCAGGCATATGCCCTTGACTGGAATTGAACCCGGAACCCTTCAGTCCGCAGGCCGATGCTCTGTTCACGAGGCAAACTGGCCAGGGCGTGTCCTATAATCTTATTTTCTAAATCTGACAATCCTATAGTGTTAAATGAATTTTTATAGTGTTAAATGGCTCTCCTTCTTGAGCCATTTTTTTATCTAAGGACCCCAGATGTGGGGAGTGACTAGTGTCACTTGAAGATCCTATGTTCCCTAGTCAGGATTCTTCAAAGAAACAGAAGTAGGGGTTGAAGAGAGCGGCCAGGCACAAGATGTTATAGCTGAGAAGGAGGGCATTGGCTCTGTTTCTTTTCCCCCCTCTAACTCCCCTGGGTAGTCAGGGGAGAGTGGAAATAGATGCATACATGGGGCCAGAGGCAGAAGTGTCTGTCACTGGCCTTTATGTAGAAGCAGAGTAAAAATGCTGAGCCAGTTATATCTAACTTTAGGAGACCAGAAGCCCTCCTTCCTGCCTGGGTCTGGTTACACTGGGTGGAGCAAGGAGATGTGCACAATGGATGGCCAGTAGCGCCTCCTGAAGGAGCTGGTGGGTTATTTTTAGGCTTTGGGGTGAATCCAGTTCTGCTCTTTGGTCACCCTTCCCCCTCCCCACTATAGTTTCACTATCAGGAAGTCCTGGTCCAACAGGCACCTAGAGGAGAGAGGGAGAGAAAGAGAAAGAGAGAGAAAAGAGTTTTGTTAGACAAGATGAGGAGGGGGCTGGACAGAGACCTCTGTAGTTCTTCAAATGAAGTCTGGGTACTCCATGCCAAAGCTATATCTCAAATTTTAGTTGAGCAGAAGTCTTGGTCCTCCTTGCTTTGGTAGGGATGGGAAGGAGGGCTGTGGAGAATGAGTTGTCGCCATCCTAAGTTATTATTAAGGGAACTGAGCCAAAGGAGTCCTACCCCTTAAGGAGAGTTTAATTCTTTTTTTTTAAAAAAAATATATATATATTTTATTGATTTTTTTTTTTTTTTTTTTTTTTTTTACAGAGAGGAAGGGAGAGGAATCATCGATGAGAGAGAAACATCAACCAGCTGCCTCCTGCACACCCCCCACAGGGATATGCCCCCAACCAATGTACATGCCCTTGACCAGAATCAAACCTGGGACCCTTCAGTCCACAGGCCTGGGACCCTTCAGTCCACTGAGCCAAACCAGTTTCGGCGAGAGTTTAATTCTTCATAGTTAAGCTACCCATTATTCATCTATTAGAGGGGAGAATCTTAGAGCATTCACTGTCTCCTGGTTGGCAATTGTCGCTGATCAAATCTTCCTTGCTGTGCATACCTGTGTCTTTGTATATGTTCCATACCCGTTGCTAACCTTCCCTTCACTCTGTCCTTTTCTTTCAGGATCACTTCCAGAAGTTCCTTCCTACAGTGGGGGGACAGCTGGGCACAGCTGGTCAGGGTTACTCCTATGGCAAGGGCGGCAGTGGAGGCGAGGCCATGGGAAGTGGCTCTGCTGGACAGTATGGCTCTGACCAACAGCACCACCAGGGCCCCGGATCTGGATCTGGGGGTACAGGTGGTGCAGGGGCCCAGGCTGGCAGAGGAGGAGCTGCTGGAACAGCAGGGGTTGGTGATACAGGAACAGGCAAGTATTTTCCCCCAAGAGTAATGTGTCTGCTCCTTAGATCAGCCATATTCCTAAGAATAAAACCTAGGTTGGGTGTAGGGAGCAGGGGAGGCCTGAGATATCTTAATGGACCCTCGGGTCCAGGAGAATAAAGAGATGTGTCCATTTCATTCAGAAGCCTTGTTTCTCAGGCACCTTTCTGGCTTTTCCGTTTAAGTCACAGACCTGACCGCAGGCTACCATTATTCCACAAACCTATACAATTACCAGGAGGATGTTATACTTTTGGTCTCTGGCTCCAGCAACTTCCCTTGCACAGGAGTGTGAGACTAACTTCCCTTGGCTACTAACTGCTATTATTTGACTTACTTTCTTTTTCACTGTTGCTAGGAGACCAGGCAGGTGGAGAAGGAAAACATATCACTGTATTCAAGACTTATATTTCCCCATGGGACAGAGCCATGGGAGTTGACCCCCAGCAGAAAGTGGAACTTGGCGTTGACCTGTTGGCCTATGGGGCCAAAGCTGAACTCCCCCAATATAAGTCCTTCAACAGGTAAGAGTGATGGGGAAAGGATGCATCCCAGTGTGTGGCAATGTATCCTTAGTTGGGATAAAGATGGGTTCAAATGTTTCAGGAGGCAAGAGGACCTAATTAAAGGGTCTAGCTCAGAGAAACAGCAAACTATGGTTTTGAAAATATTGCTGGCAGGCAGGATTTGAATTTTAGTGTTTGCATGGGAAAGTTACGCTACTTCTGGCCTTGGTTGCTTTGACTATAAATACTGTACTATACATTTAAAGTCCTATTGAGGCTCTCTTTACTCAGAGTTAGGATTCCATTACTGTTCCCACAGTAGGGTTCTGGTCCTTTATACCCTACTTTAGTAAAGCTTAACTGTTCTTTTGACATTGGGCTTCTCTAGACCGTGCATAGTAGATCTGTGTGAAAGCAGGATAGGGAAGTGTTAGAAAAAGTGCTTTTTCATTTGGTCCTAAGGAGCCTGGATTTCCCAGGAAACGTTCATCCCTCTCATCCAGACCAGATACTGTCCACCGGAGGGAGGGTAGGGATTCTGTGTTGAAATTTAAGGTGGCCTCAGATCCTTGGGTCTATAATGTTTGGGGTTACTTTCTCTCAAATGCTGGGACACCAGGAAAACCAGGAAAGGGGATGGGAACGCTAATGGAGAAGAACAATAGGCGTGCAGAAGAACCTGCAACGAAAATCCCCAGACTTCCCTATCTTCAAAACAGAGAAACAGCTCACTGATAAAGCTCTGTCTCTTTTGTTCTGGTTGTTAATGAAATAATATATCCCCTTTTCAGGACAGCGATGCCTTATGGTGGCTATGAGAAGGCATCCAAACGCATGACCTTCCAGATGCCCAAGTTTGACCTGGGGCCCCTGCTGAGTGAACCCCTGGTCCTCTACAACCAGAGCCTCTCCAACAGGCCTTCTTTCAACCGAACCCCCATTCCCTGGCTGAGCTCCGGGGAGCCCGCAGACTACAACGTGGATATTGGCATCCCCTTGGATGGAGAAACAGAGGAGCTGTGAAGTGTTTCCTCCTCTACTTCGCATCAAGTCTCCCCTCTCTGGCTCCAACGTGGAGAGGGAATGCTGAGCAGGATAACCCCACTTTCATTCCTTTTGGGAATGGAGGGAAAAGGGATAAATGTGCCATTCCATCCTTCACCCTGAGTCCCCACTCTGAGCATCCTTCTTCACCAACTCAGAGCTCTCCTTCCACTTGCTCTGTATGGAAACCTGCTCTTTTATGGAATTAGCTCTGCCATCGGTAACAGTCAATAAACTTCAAGGAAACACGCTAATTTTTTCCTCTGATATTTGAGGGCAGATGAAAACAATGCACAGAGACTAATGAAAGTCAAATACTAAACACTCATTCAAATTTCAAGACCAAACCTGAGCTCTGGTTACTTTCACACTTACGCCCACACTCGTGAAACCACATTCATAGATGTATACGAAAACATACTTATTCAATAGTACATAAGGCAAATAGTCACGCACAAACACATGTTCCAGCCTACATGTGGGCACAGCTAAGTAGCTCCTTTATGCTATGGTTAGGAAATAGGTGTCGGTGACCCTGCTATTAGATTTCTTTATGCTGCTGATTAGGATTTGGGATGAGGATTATCCAAATATTACAGAACTAGAACATGCCACAAAGTTTCCAGATGACACCAGAGTGGGCTTAGTAATATATGTGGTTAAAGGTTATCGGTTCCCGAAAGGATGATATAGAAGAGAGAGTCATGTTGGAATCCAGAAGGAAGTGGGTGAGCCCTAACCAGTCTGGCTCAGTGGATACAGCATCGGTGGCAGGCTGAAGTGTGCAGGTTTGAGTCAAGGGCATGTACCTTGGTTGCAGGTTTCCCAGCATTGGTCGGGATGCATGCAGAAGGCAATCAATCGATGTGTCTCTCTCACATGGATGTTTCTCTCTGTTTCTCCCTCTTCCTTCCACTCTCTCTCTAAAAAAAAAAAAAAAAAAAAAAAAATGAATGGAAAAATTTCCTCAGGTGAGGATTAATAATAGAAGGAAGTGGGAGAAACCAGCTTACTTATGATATGCCTAGCTCTGAATGAACATAGCAAGAAAAGAACTAAGGGTCACAGGGCACAGCAATGGTGTCCAGAAAGTACTATGACTGTGAAGAACAATGAGAGCCAATAGGAATGAGTAACAGTTCCCTCTCTCTCTCTCTCTCTCTCTCTCTCTCTCTCTCTCTCTCTCTCTGTCTCTCTCTTAAACAGACTACTTTTTTTCAATTACAGTTTACATTCAACATTATTTTGTATTAGTAGTTACAGGTATACAGTATAGTGGTTAGTGGTTAGACACTTACGTACTTCACAAAGTATTCTCCCCAATATTTCTACTACCCACCTGGTACGTACATAGCTATGACAGTATTATTTACTATATTCCCTATTCTGTACTTTACATCCCTGTGACTATTAACATTACTCTTTTTATTGATTTCAAGAAGTGGTTTCTTTAGAATCCCAGGACTAACTGTTATGTCCCATAAAGTAAGAGTGATGCAAACCATAAAGAGTAAAGAGAAGACTTAATAGGTTCTGAAAAATAAATTCTGAGAGCTGGTTGAAATCAGCCAACTTTTTGAACTATTAAAGATCATATTAAGTTGCTAGACTCTACATAGACTGATTCAATTTTCATGAACCTTGGGTCACATGACATTTACCCTGGCACTTTCCTTTACAACCTAAATAACTTCCAGGGATTCTTTCTATAAAGTTGTACATAAAGCTCTATTTCTATGTGCATTTTTCTAAGGAGAGTATTGTTATAATTTGATTTCCTTCCAAACAGACCCTGAAACAAAAATCTGGATGCAAGCAGCTAATTTGAGAGATGATCCCAGAATCTAAGAAGTGTAAGGGAGTGAGAAGAAAGCAAAAAACCATGTTTTGGGCAATTAGGGCTAGGTCCCACTGGGGACTCAGAATAATACTACTCAAATTGTGGTCCATGGATTGGCAGCATGGTTAAAAGTACAAACGCAAGAATCGATGGCTTACTCAGCTCTTGAGGTAACTCCTGTGTATTAGTGAATTTTGAGAAACATAGATCATACCTCAGTATTATCCCATTGAGGGCATAGGGAACTGGAGTTTTTAGCTTCCAAATCTCATCTCTCATTGGTTACAGATTGTTATTAGGACTGTTAACTCTGCTGGCAATTCCAAACAAAGGTGTTTGCGGTAAGAAGCCATGGGCTTGTATAAGATCTGTCTACCAAAGCTGTAGTAAACTCTGAGGTGGACTGAGGGAATATGGGTTTGACAGGATCTGGTCAAGGGTCATAGCTTTCATCATATTCTCAGGTTTGAAACTCTGTGAGCCTACTCCAGAAGTTAAGGACAAATGTTTATTGAGCACCTCTGTATCCCAGGTACTAAGTCAGACATCACAGGTACAAAGAAAAATAACTCATGCGACAAGGATATTTCATAGTCAACCACAAAATAATTATTATATGTCTACTCTTAAGGTTGGGGTAAAAATAACTCCAGGGTCTGCTAGTCAACAGCACTGAAAACCTAGCAACTTAATTTTTCCAAGTTCAAAATGTCTGAAATCTTAAATGTAATAAAAATAATCATGATACAAGTTTACTAATTTACAGGGAGCCCTGGTTGGTTGTGAAACTATTTCCTTAGAAAAATGAAATTATTACAATGGTGGTCGAATGCATTAGAAGTGCACACTTGTACAGGATCCAGCCAGAAATCCAGTCAAATCCTTAAGCTTTGCTATCCATTTGCTTGGGAATTATTCTTCTGTTAAAGCAACCTTTCTTCACAAATGTTTCATACATTTGAATGCCACAGTTCACAGAGTCACACATTGGCAGCACAGCTGTCTATACTGTTCACACACATCTTCTGTTGGCCATCACTGTGTTTTAAAACTCATGAGAGTTTTCAATTCAGGAGCTCAATAGAGTACCCTTTTATTTTATTTTAATATTTTATTGACTTTTTACAGAAAGAAAGGAAGAGGGATAGAGAGTTAGAAACATCAATGAGAGAGAAACATTAATCATCTGCCTTCTGCACACCTCCTACCAGGGATGTGCCTGCAACCAAGGTACATGCCCTTGACCTGAATCGAACCTGGGACCTTTCAGTCCGCAGGCCCACGCTCTGTCCACTGAGCCAAACCGGATAGGGCTAGAGTTCCCTTTTAGATATAAACTTGTGCTCTCCAGTGGGTCCTGGTCCCCACTTCTACCTCTTGTTTTACACCAGGCCATCTTTTATTGTTACTTGCCTACCCTCTGGAGCCATTTGAGTTGGCAACTTCAAGGGATTCTTTTACATAAACCACATGCGCATAATACTGTGCCCTAAAATCACTCAGATAACTCATTCTCTAGATGAGGGTCTGGAGCTTTGCTAATATTATTGTCACTTAATTAGTAAAATTAAGATATTACATGATGAAATAATTTGAATATGTTGGGTTAAAAATAAATTAATTTCATATGTATTATTTTTAAAAATGTAGCTATTAGAGATTTTAAATTGCACAATGCAGGTCACAATATATGTCTACTGGCCAGCACTGGTCCTAGACTATGAGAGCCATTCAGGGGCTTTAAGAGAAAAAAAAAATGAATTCTCCATTAATTATTTCTACTTCCTTATTATTACCTTCGGCTTTATTCTTCCTTGTTGACCTACGTTAAGTTCACCTTCTGTTCCCAGATGCTCCTCAGTCTGCATTTCAAGTTGTCTGAGCAGAGAGACAACGCCCTAAAACTAAGTGTTGAGTCACTGAGAAAGGATGTGTCCACTGGGCAGCAAGCAACAAGTGCAAAGTTGAATCCACATAACGAGGCGGTCCCTTTCCGCATTCAAACATCTGTGTTTATGTTCCATTAAATAACACACACACACACACACACAATTTATTTCCTATTTTGGTCGGGCTAACTGATGGGAGGTGTGGCGCTTGTGGGTAAACAAACATTTCTGTGGAACCAAACACCATCTGCAAACCAGTGCAGGGGAAGAACAGATGAAAACTTGCTGAAGGGAGCCCAGGAGGAGATGGATGGGACGGTCGATCTTGGTCTTGCTCGTCCCATCTCTACAACGGCCTGCAGAAGGAAACTTCCGCTAAAGGCGTCACGGCTCTAAGTGTGCGGCGCCTGGGAAAAGTTATCCCGGGGTGGGGGTTTGCTCCACTAACGCCCCGCAACCGGGCCGTCCCGCCTGCGATAGTTTCCCGACTTTGCCGGAACTCAAGTCAGATTCTCCCCTCGCCCGCCTTCAGACTCTTGCGCGCCATCCCCGAGCCGCCTCGCGGCCGCCATCTTACAGGAACTATCGCGAGAGGTGGTACTCCGCGGACTGGAGCCTGACTCATTCACTTCCCGGCGAGAGGCTCCTCTAGGCTGTTCTCGCCGGAGTTGTGCGAAGTGTCGCGAGAGCTGGTTGCCTTGGCTCCCTGTAGCTATAGCAGCCGCGGCGGTTCAGGATGCGGCGGCAGGAGCCGTGAGTGCGACACCCTCAGGGGGGCGGGGCTGGAGGTAATGGGGTGCCGGGGGTAGAGCCTGGGCATTGGGGGGGGGTGATGGGGGGAAGGTCAGGTCCCGGGAGGAGTGGACCCGAGGGTGACGTTCAGGAGAGGACCCGGGTCCGGGGGGTACGGGGACAGGGCGCCGGTCTGCACTGGGGCACACGGGGAGGGCTGGTCTCCGGGGAAGTCCGGAGGGAGGGACCGGGGTGTAGTAAGGGTTCAAGGAGCAGGGACCGGAGCGTGAAAGCTTGTGCGCGGTGGGAGTAGCCCAGGGTTCCGGGGACGGAGACCTGGATCAAGGGACCGGACTCCATTGAGGAATCGTGGGCAGAACTGGGGTACAGCTCGGAAGAGGGTATGTTGAATGGGGAGCATAGAGGTTGGGCCCGCTTTGCTTTGCACTGGCGTGTGTGTGTGTGTGTGTGTGTGTGTGTGTGTGTGTGTGTGTGAGAGAGAGAGAGAGAGAGAGAGA